TCTCCATGATGAAAGCCCTTAAACTTTCTGGACTTGTCCTCTAAGAGTTCTCTGTCATCATTCCATATTCAGCCTTGCTTACCATGTGCTCCTGCACAGCTTAAATTTCTGTCTTTTGCTACTGTTCAAGCCTTAGTCCATGGTCTATTTCTTTCTTTCACTATAAAAGCTGTCTTTTCAGCCAGTCTCCCTCCCTCTTCCTAACCATTTGCACTGCATTCTTTCTCTCCCAAAGCTCCAATAGCCTCCTGTATCTCTTTGAAGCTTCCACGAGTTATCTTGTCTAATAAAATGTCCCATTCAAGCACCTTGTTCTCATCTACAAGACATTGCCGTATCTTATATTTACTCAAGTCTTTTTCCTGCCTTTTCACTCTTTTTTGCTCCATCTGAAGCTATTGCCTGAGGCAAAGTACACTTGCTGTGACTTCTTCCTGTCCTGCACCTCATGCCCTCATGTCCTTCCGTGCTTTGTCTCTTATTGCTTCTGTGTTTACCTCTTAGAGACCCTGTTACTATTAAGTAGTCCTCTTTTTGTCACCTTTCTCCTCTTCCTCCTTCAAAACTCCCCTTTTCCCTTTCACCTTTAAAGTTTCTTTTGTCTCAGCCTATCCTTTATATTTTCTCCTTCACAGCCTTATGGACCTCTTGGACTGAGCTCTCTTAAGCACAGAATATTATTTTTTTCTTTATTCTTAAATGACTATTTTTCTATTCTACATATATGGTTCTGCGTAACAGTAACTCTGCCCCCGCAAATTCAACTCCTTTCAGTCTAGGGTAGTAGAGGTCTCTGCATTGCCATCTGCTATAATGTCTGTGCATGCAGTGTTGGTGGCAGCTGGAAAAAAGACCTTACGTTTCATTCCAGAGGAGGCTGCAGTCTGGTGGTGGGCTATAAGGTTTGTATACAGTGAGGTCATGAAGTGGTCTAGGATGAATCTGCTAGAGAAACAAACAAACAAAAAGCTCTTACATAAGCAGAAGGCTCATAAGTTAGTATGATGTCTGATAATTGTGTGGGCAGGGCACAGGGAACAACATTAAGCGTGTCACTGTTGATTAACAGCACTGGGATTTCAGGTGATAAATCTCCTGGGACAGGACCATGAGAGAAGTGCAAGTCTTCAATCATCCCTCCCCCCATACTATCAGAGCTTTCACTATAAAGGCAGTAGGATGGGAAGGCTAGGAATTATGTTTCTGCATCCTGAAAAGCATTCAGGAGAGAAAACTAAAGGTCTGAGAGAAAACTGGGAAGAGGAGGGAGAAGGATAGATGGCTGACTGCAGAAGAGACCCATCTTGGGTGAGAGTTCTTCTAACTTCTATTCCTTTCTTCTTCCTCACCTAAGGCCCTGATTTGGGCTGTAGCTGTAGTTTCATCTGTCATGAAGATGTCCTGCTTGAAGGAAGTACCACAGAAACATGCTTTGGAGTCCCTCTAGGGCCTGTAATAGGCAAAGAAAAAAATGGTGTATGAGCAGGTTGTGTACCCTTCCTCTCATGGGCTGTGGGGCAGTCTAGAAACTATTGTGAGCCCTTTCAAGAGGCTTAGGAGCACCTGAGGAGTCAAGCCATACGTACAGGTCATCTGTGCTTGTGACTAGTGCAAGATGGTTATTACATCTTCCTCTTTTTTTACATCTTCCTCCACTGCTGTGGTAGTCTTTTGAGTCGGTTGGTAACCTCTCAAGCAATAGAAGCACTACATTGCTGTGTTCTGGCAGAAGGGAAGAGCTAGGCCTAGGACAGATGAGCAATAAAGAAAATATATAAAGAACTGTGGCAGGAAATTACAGGAAAAGTGATAGGGGAGATTTGACAGCAGCTGCTGGGCAGCAGCAGTTCAGAAAGGCAGATCTTTTCAGGTTGTGCTCAGTGTTCTGTACTTTTGGGACTCTGCTGATCTGAAAACACGGACAGTACAACGGGTAGAGCTGGAACAATGCCTTCCATTAGGTCAGCTGTGCCAGCTGGAAAAAGTGGGTGAGGTATTGGGGCTGCAAGTTCTTCTCTGAGTCTGAAACAGAAGCAGCAGATCTCAGAGCAAATACAAGTTGAGAGTAGCTGCTTTGAATTTAACTAGACCAGTGTCAGTGAGGCTGTGACAAAAGATTATTGTGGAATAGAGAGGATGTTAATTGTGCCCAGAGAGCTGACAAAAGGCTTTCCTCCTAGGGGAAAGAGCAAGAGGGGTGATTTATGAGTTGTGGAGCATCATAAGATTAGTGTTCAGGACACAGGAAATAATGTGACAGAAATCCAGTATCTCTACAGGTGGCATATATTTTGTCATGTACTGGAATGGTGAATTTCAGTTCTCAGTCTTTTCCTTGGTAGACAATATCAGGGTACAGAGATCAGAGGTAGAAAGATTGTTTGATGAGAAGTGCTGTCCCACTGGGAATGAAATAAATGCTAAGTCCTTAGAGTGTACACATGTACCACTATGTGTATAATGATTGTTCAGTTTCATCTGTACAGTTATCAGTCTCCCATTTGGTGCACTGGATGAGGTGTATTACATGTGAGGGCGTGGGGGTTTTGTGGGTTGTCTTCCTCATGAGGATAGTAAAGGTTTCTTGTTCGAGTAGCATGTGGAGTCTTTTGGTGAATGTTGGCCTTGGGGTCCTTCATGCTTTTATAGATGAGGTGAGTGAGGCTGGGGACACTTTGGAGGCTGAGAGGGACAGTTCTTGGTAAAAACCTTTCAGGGGAGGATCATCTTATTTTAGGCTATAATTATATAATTATTTTCCATGGAAGTTCCACAACAGTATCATACAAGAGAGACGGTAGAGTTTGATCAGCTGGCAGTAGGGGGTTCTTTTTTATACTGAAGCAATTTCTGATGTGCTATTCTTGTGCCTCTTGAAAAACAAGAGCTAGAAGAGTGCACATTTGGGTAAAGGTTCCCATTAGTTTTCTCCAGTGGCTGTGATGACTGTTCTCCTCCAGTAAATGTAATAGTAACTGAAGATCTGGTGCTGTATTATAGCTTTGATGTTTGCTGGGTCTTACTGTGGTTGGTCTTTAGGTTTTCTATATATGATGCACACATTCTATACAGGTTTTTATATTTTGTACACTGTATAGTATATGCTGTGCATAATTTTTTATGTAAGCCATAGTGACATTGGTCTTCCAAAAGCATCTCAATAGGTTGGGAACAGTTAATGCCTTTATGATGGAAATCTATGAGGGTATCCAAATGTTCTTCTCTGACTTCCTAGACATGGTCACTTAGAAACTCGTCTTTAAGGTGGTTCATTACAAGTTTTGTCCTACTGATGGGCCACAGTCTTCCTCCAGGAAACATTGCTTATTGACAGTAAAGTGAGTGCTGGTGAGAATGAAACAGATGAGCCTATATGTTTTGAGGCAGCATTGATAGTGCTTTTGTAAATATTCAGAGCTTGCCTGGCCTGCCACCAGGTGTGGGTTGTACAGACTAACAATATCCATATGGATATTATTGCTAATGGGTACCCATATGGATATTGTTAGCAGAAACATTGGAGGAGGTGGAGAGGTGGTTTATGGAGGAAATCAAGTGTGTCTTCTTCTTGGAGACTGTCTTTTTACCCCACTCTTGAGGACCATGCAGACTGAGAAAAAGCAAAATGAGCCTCCAAGAGAAATGTTTTACAGGGGTCTGCAAAATGAGATAATGAGACTACTGTTCTGGACCCAAACAAAGGGTGTTTTGCCAATCTCTCTCTCCCCCATCCTGCCTGCGAATCTCTTATCCTACAGTGTGAGAGCTTGGAAATCATTGTTCTGGAGAGCTGAGTGTGTACAAGAGGAGAAAGAATGAGTTAATAGCACCTCTTTAGTGACTGCGTTTGAGGCATGTGGGGTCTTCTTTTCTTGTACACAATTTCTAGGATCTTGAACTCACTGCTCTTCATTGATTAATAGCCATCAAAAGACATATGGTTACAGGCAGCTCACTGACAGTACTGGGCGGTGTCTCTAGACCATGTTGCTGGAACATGCTTCTCATTCCTGTCCCTGGCTTGTAGCTCCCTGGTGTTGGCTGAGCTTATTGCTTTTTTGCCTGGCTGAGAAACAAGTGGCAGAGTAGAGAGGAGAAGCTGTTGAATGGTCTAGCCTGTGGAAAAGTGAGCATCAAGAAGAATAAATTTCTGCATATACCCATAATTGAATACCCACAGAGCAGTTTGGTGACATTCTTCAAAAGCATAGAGTGTTCCTCATGGGAAGGCTGAGATTAAGCTGTAACACTCAGCAGTTTACAAGGATGCCTGACTTCTCCATTAGGGCTTGCTGCTTCTCCTTTGGACCATGGACTTAGAAAAATTGTCTTGGGACACTGAGTGTCCATCTTGTTCTATCTCACCATAGCTCCTGGCATCTTTATGATTGTCACTCAGTCTTTGGACAGCTGGTATCTGGGGAGAGAACGAGGAAGACCACTGAATTTTGTTCTCATTGCAAATATGGCTTGCTTAGGATGGAAAGGTGTGAAAGAAGAGATTTCCTGGATAATAATTTCTGCTTCCTCCTGTCTGCTTTCTGTGTCTGTCCTTCTAGCTCTGCCTGTCTTACTGCCTTCTCCCCCCCTCCCCCCCGCCCTTCCCTCTCCTTCAGGAGTTCCCCTCTTCCCCACACCTGATATTCAATCCCAGCAGAGTTAGCACCTTTTGCTGAGATCAGACACGGCACTGGGGAATCATGTGGCAGAGGAAGGTTGCTATAAATATAGTTAAACCCTGCAGTCACTGCCTTTGAGCAGAAAGGGGAGCAAGGGAAGAGAGGCACAAGGAGGAGGAGGAGGGGCAGAGAGAAAGTGGGTGCAGGAACAGGACAAGTCAGAGTGGTCTGAGGAGAGGAAGAAAGGAAGGAGGGAGCAGAAGAAAGTGTGGAGGCCATGCTCTTGGCCAGAACATATGGTGGTTCTAGGTAAGGCCCAGAGTGGCAGCTCCATTACAACTGAGAGTGAGGAAGAGTAGAGGCACGGAGAGCTCAGAGACCATGACGCAGGAATCCAGATCGAAGTCAGCTTTGTGGGAGGGCACACCGCAATACGACTATGTCTGCTTTGAGAAATGCACCCGTTACGGGATACCTTTGGAGGCAGGACACGAGGCCGGGGGGACAGGGGACGACCTGCACTGCCTGGAGAACTCCCTCAGCTACCCACAGGTAGGGCTGGATAACTGGGATGTTTGTGGCAGCACAGGTCTCCCTGGGATCACATAGGCTCTTGGGGTTCCCAGGGTGGTGCTGGTAGAGCACACACCTTGTCCCTTCCCAATCCTGCCAACTCTCCCCTTTGCTTGCTGACTCCCAGGTCAGGTATTGACTTTCACGGTTGTACTTGCATCCAGGAGTGCTATCAGCATTTTGAGTCAGGGGTCGTTTTCATCTGCCATGGGCACAAACAGAGTTAGAAGGGGCAAGCTGGGATGGGAAAAATCAACCAGACCATTAATGTGTTTGTAACAGCAAAGAGAAACTGCGGCTGCCTTCAGCTGCATAGTGGTATTAAGTAGAGCAGAAGAGTGAATAAAAACAAAGAGGACAGTGATGTATATAGATGGGTATCTGTCTGCACAGCTGTATAGAGGAAGTCAAGCAGAGCTCTGTTCTGGCTTTTCTCTGACCAAAAAGCAATTCATGGTCATAGATCCATACATGTATATTGCTAGTTTTGGTAGCTCTTAGGGGAGCTGTAAGTGAGAGATTTTCTAACCCTTAAATTTGACCTGACTCTTGCTCTGGTTCATACAAGCAGCGGTTCAGAAAAATGCCTGGGAGTCTGGTTATGGCTTCTTGTTCCATTACCCACTGTATCTCCTCTACCTCTCCTTTTGGGACAGCCTCCTGAACAGGGGAGGTTTTACAGCAGAGTTCTGGTGTCTTATTACCTACTGCTCTGCTCAGGCTAAGCCGATGTAAGAGGGCTTTAGAGCAATGAAGGATCCAGTCAAATGATGAGAGAGAGAGCATGTGAATGTGAAATTCACACAGAGAGGATGTTTCTCCTTACGTGAATACAAATCCCCTTACATGAATACTTAAGTGAGTGATTGGGCAATGAGGGAGGGGATGCATTCATCATCTCCAGGAGACTTTTGTGATTTACTGGTGGGGAAAAAGCCACATTTGCCACCAAGAAAATCTCTTCCAGTAGATAAGTATCCCAGTGAGGATTATATGTGCCACATTGCAAAAGATCACAGAATCAGTTCCTTGGCCATATTCAGGAATTTCTCTCCTGAAACTGTCTAAACCATCTGAGAGTTCGCAAATGTCTCCTACACTATACTTTTCCAAAACCACTCCCTGGCTGATTTGGAAGCAGCAGCGCAAACGGGAAGGCGTCTGGACAGAGGTCTGACTGGAGCAGTTTATGCTTTATTTACACTAATGCAAGGCAATGGCTTGGCTGCAGCAGCCATGCTAACAGGGTGAGCACGGAGTGGGATGGGAATGGAGAGGTATGTGCGCCCAGCTGGAGCAATGCCTAGGGCTGGAGAGCTGAGGTGCCTTCAGGGAATGCACCTTGTGCTGCACAAACCGTTAGTGAGTTGGGGGTGGGGGGAGCTGTGCGATGCAAACTGTTTCTCCAGTAAAGCACATCCATGCACAAAACCATCCCAGTTCACGTGTACCCACCTGATATGCTAGTCTCACACGCCTAAAACCACTCTCACAAGCAGGCGCGGATGACACAGTGAGGCAATACAACCCACCTCCATGCTCTTGCTCCCTGGCACTGGAGTGTCTTTGTTCCCAGCTCCAGAGGCATACTGGTCAATGCATGTAGACAGACAACCTCATGCACAAACATGCAGGCCATCAAATGCGTTCCCATGCACAGCTTCAGGCAGTATCTCCCCCCAAGCAAGTATTCATTTGTGAACACAATTTGCAACCTAAAAACCAGGCAGCCATGTTTATAGATTTACTGACAAATATGCCCTAGAAATATTTTTACATAAACAGTCACATACACATGTGCATGTATGTTTATATATGAAACTTTGTATGCAGACATATTCTGGCAAAACCAGGCTTGCTGTGCATGTGTATATTTTGCTAGCCATTCACGCACATGCAGATAAAGTATAAATATATATGCTAATGTACACCTTGTACAAACATGCACACTTACGTTATTAGCATGAAAAACAGCCTGCTGCGCATGTTTTCATCCATTTCCATGCAGAGTAACCATTAAGATTTCTTTCCCCATTGTCATGTGAAAAAACAGTTGGCAGAGAGAGATTTTGATTCTGCTGTGCCCTTTTCTTTTGCTAGCTGTTGCCTTCTGTTCTGTATGTAGGTTGGAAGCTATTTCAGACTGGCTCTGTGATTTGGTTGGGTTTACTCAGGCCCCAGAACGGTGAAATCTTGGTCCTTGGCCTGGGACCTTCAGGTAATTGATGGTCAAAACCCATATAGTGGTTAATAGATAATAAAATAATAATAGTAGTAGGATAATAATAGTAATATATACATACTTTTGGACAATTAAGATAACAGTAGATATATGATAGATGATGTAATATACTTTGATAAAAATATACATTCTCATACACTGTAGGATTTTGTATTGTTTTCTTTCTGCATGAGAAAGCAGCTACAGCTGGTGAAGTATTTAGACGCTGTGTTATTCATGACTATAGAAAGGGTGTTCATGGCAGAGAGCTCACTCAGCAACACACAGATGGGTGTAGTGGGAGGGATGTGTAATAAGTAATTAGGCAATGCAGTAATATAGAATAGCAGGCCCACTGGAAGATGTAGGTGGAAGGGGCCTCCGGAGGTCTCTAGCCCAAGCCCCTGCTCACAGCAGGGCTGACTCCAAAGGTAGGTCAGGTTGTCCAGGGCCTTGTCCAGGCACGTTCTGAACATCTGCAGGACAGAAGATTCCCCAGCCCCTCTGGGTTCCTGTGCTGAACCACCCTCAAGACGGGGTGGATGGGGACATGTTTTCCTTTCGCACTGACTTCCCTTTCTTGCAAGTTAAGCCTTTTTCCTTTTGTCTTTCACTGTGTGCCACCAAGAAGTCTCGCTCTGATGTTTCTCTCCAACCCCCCTCTCCCTTCAGGTGGTGGGACTGCTGTTAGATCTCCCCTTTGCCTTCTGTTCTTCAGGAAGAACTATTATTTTGTTGCTGTCCCCCACCCTTCACATGTGCCTCATTGGCTCTGTGTCTAAGCAGTTGAGCCTAGACTTTTCACTGACATTTAAATTTACTTATGAAGTGAGTTTGGGGACGTCTCATCTTTGAGACCAAATATGGCTACTCTTTTGTGATCCATCAGAAAAAAAAAACCTAAGGAAGATAATTTCAGGAATAGCAGGATGACTACAAGGTGGTAGTGAGAGGGATGAGCAGTAGAGCCCAAGGCTGCCTCAATGGCCAGGAGCAGCAGATTAAAAACAATATGCACTGGCCATGCTGGGGGAAGATATTTTGTTATGGGTTTGTGTGGCACAGGTTTTTTTGGTAGCAGGGGAGGGGCTGCAGGGCCGGCTCCTGTCAGAAGCTGCTTGAAGCTCCCCCGCCTCCCAGCCAGCCCGGCCTCTGGCCCAGGCCGAGCCCCTCAGTGACAGTGGTAACACCTGTGGGAGAACAGATTTAAGAGGGGAACCCCCAGTGAGTCAGGGGATTGGAATGTGAGAGGAACTTCTCTGTGGATACCGAGGTCAGTGAAGGAGCAGGAGCAGGAGCGGGAGCGCCTGAGGAGGCTGATGCCCCCGCAGCCCGTGGTGAGGCAGCAGGCTGTCCCCCTCCCCCCCCCAGCCCATGGAGGGGAGCGGAGGCCCCCCAAGATGGCCGGGACTCCATGGGAAAGCCCGCCCTGGAGCAGTCTGTGACTGAAGGACTGCGGCCCGTGGAAGGGACCCACACCGGAGCAGTTCGTGAAGAACTGCCACCTGCAGAAAGGACTCACGCTGGAGAAGTTGGTGAAGGGCTGTCTCCCGCGGGAGGGACGGACCCCATGGCGGAGCAGGGGCCGAGCGCGGAGTCCTCCTCCCCCTGAGGAGGAAGGAGCGGCAGAGACAAGGTGTGAGGAACCGACCCCAATCCCTATTCCCCGTCCCCCTGTGCCACTGGAGGGAGGAGGTGGAGAGAACTGGGAGTGGAGTTGAGGCGGGAAGGTGGGAGGGCTGGGGGGAAGGTGTTCTCAGGTTGGGTTTTACTTCCCAATATCCGTGTTTTGTTCTGATTGGTAGCAAATTAAGTTGATTTTGTTTCTTCCCTGAGTTGAGCCTGTCTTTTGCCCGTGACCATATGTGGGGAGTGATCCCTCCCTGTCCTTGTCTCGACCCACGAGCCTGCCGTTATATTTTCTCCTCGTTCCACGTGGGCTGGGGTGGGGGGGCAGTGAGCTAGCGGCTGCCCGGTGCTTTGTTACCAGCTGGGCTGAAACCAGGACAGATTTCAGGACTGGAGTATGCTGTGGGGCACATATGGTTCTGCCTGAGTGGCATAGAAAATAGCCTAGGCTTTGGACGGTAAGAGGAGGGCAGTTTTATGCAGGTGCTGAGTTCTCAGAAAATAGCTCCCAGAAAAGGCTTGAGATTGTGGTGCTGTACATATTTTTCCACTGAGATGCTGTGCAGCTTTTCCTCCATTACTCAAGCAATGAAACCTCCCCATCTTTTTTGGAAAGGCAAACCCTGCTGGTTTACAGTTAAACATTAATAAATGCTTCCTCCCTGAAAATGAACTTTATCCTGGTTGTGTGTTCTCCCTGGATGTTTTTTTGGGTCCCCCCCCCGCCTTTAGTGGTATATAAATAAATGTGTGTGTGTGTGTATATATATAGGGGCGGGTGGGTCCCCCTTTATACCCTCAGCTGGTTTTGCACCATTATCATGGTCTCAGCACGTAGCCAAGCTAGACATGATAGTACCTTTTCTGGCTCAACCCTTTAGGTGGTAATTGATATCTTTCAAAATTCTCTCCAGTTTTTCTGCTGCTCAGAAAACCTGTGTTTCTTGTGTTAAAGCAGGAGCATCAGCAGAAGGAACGGTTTAAGTCCTATTGTGTTATATTTTTAGTTTTACATGTCTTCTAATGGAGTGGATATTTCTTGCCTAACCTAATTTTGCTTTAAGGTCATCCTATGATTTCCAGATTCTTTCTGTGTCCCACAATCTCCTACCATTTTAAATACTGCCAGAGTCCTGGAGAAGCAAAGCACATGTATGCAGCATTCTTTGAGTTGAGACTAACTTGTTCTTCAGGCAAGAACCTTCATTTTTGTGTCTGGAGACTAACTCATTTTTTCCCCACATCCTGAGTGCGCCATTTTCCAGCCTGATAGAAGCAGTGAACTAGGATACCATATGAGGACTTTTACCATTCATGCTATTATACTGTCATGCTGTTCCATCTGGGCAGATTGAAGACTCTAATTTGAACATCATACTTCACACAGGTTTGAGTTCATAGTTTGGATTAAGCTGTATTTGATATAAACCCATCCCTTGTGACCATGTAAAGGCAATGAAACATTAGCTGAGGTGATGTGAAGATGCATTTGTCTAAAATCTGCTAGTACTTTGCATTTCTGGCTGAAACAGACACAGTGAGAGAAAAAAGGAGCAGTCTGCTATTTAGGACTGGATTCCATATATGATAGCTTACCTTGTATATGAAATTCTTCAGCCTGATGTTTCACTGTCCTGTCTGTATTATGGGGGTCAGAGCATGGCCATTCCTCACTGCAAAGAATCTGCATTGCTTAGTTTGCCTAGAGTGTGTTGCTAATCCTGTGGTTAACAATTACATTAAATTTGTCAGCTTCCAATACAGTGATGAATAGAAGAATGCTTTCAGATGTTCAGATAGGATCAATTCATTTAAGAGACAGCAGGTAAGCCACCTTAAGAGCAGGATGATTTAAAAAAGCCTAAATGTGTGTTCTGTGATAAAACACTAGGGTGTTCAAAGGGGGCTATTGCACATGGCTCAAGTGTCTCTTGAGGAATATATGCAAATAAATAAACTACTTAAGACCTTCAGTCATACTTGTTATGTAGAAATATGAATTGGTAGAGCACTGAAACAGCTGTTGAGAGAAGCTGGGGAACTTCCACTCTTAGAGATGTTTAGGAGTTCCCTGGACAAGGTCTTGAGCAGCCTGGTCTGGCTCTGCAGTTCGCATGCTGTGAGCAGAGGCTTGGACTCGAAACCTCCAGAGGTGCCTTCCAGTGTAAATCTTTCTGTGGGTCCCTGAATCTCTTTAATCTCAAGGGAACAAAAGCAACATCTCCTGTGTCCCTTCGAAAGGAGGAGCTGTCAACTAGAAACGTTTCCTAAGCATGTGGTAGTGCTTTATGTCTCTCATATGTCTTGTCATTCTCCAGCTGAAGTGTCTGATTTTGCTCATCAAAGCATTGCTCACTTGCCTCTTGCCACTCAGAAAATCTTGGAGAAGCAGATGTTGTGCTGGGGAGGAAGCAAAGGGTCACCTTCTCGCAGGTGGGAAGTGCCAAGATCACAGGCCGTGCATCGGGTGGTAAAGCCAAAGCTGGTTCATAGAAGGACATGTGCGGAGGAGAGGCTTATTCTCTGCTTCTCAAATGCACACCTTCCCCACCTGTACTCTGGAAGAGTGAGGTAGGATAGCTGCTCTTCAGAGAATCTGATAAACAAACATGGGGATGCAGTCAGGATCCTTCAAGCTCACTTGCTGTTGACAAGGTGGCACAGCTGCCAAGTTTACTACAGATTTATGTATGAAATGTCATTGGTAAGTGCGTGTAGTTAGTTGTGAATTGCATATAACCAGCTGCATTTCAAGATTAGTATCTGAAGACAAAGACTAGATTAAGTAGTTAGGAAATTCAGAGGAATTGGAGATACGTGAGGACTTAGCATGATGATTTTGGTAAATAATGAGAGGAGGTGTGCAGTACCCTGTGATATTTCTGAGCTGATGCTGCTTCTTTTCCTCCGCAGACACCATCAGTGGCCGTGTGCCCTGTTAAGCATTCCTTGGCAGCAGGAGGAACAGATGCAGGACATTCCTGCAGCCTGTTTGATAGTGTAATACCTCTCGAAGCCTTCAGAGATGTTTTACAGTGCTGCTGAAATCTGTAAGACAGCCCTGAGGGTGGCAGCCTCATGTGAACTATTTTAACCTTCTTTTGTACCTCCAAAAAGCCTGCTCAGTATCTTCAGACCACAGCCAGCTCTTTCTCAGGATTTTAGAAAGCAATTAATATTCTGTGACCTTATTTTGTACCCCCAAAAAGGAGATGAAAAGATTTTGGAGAGACTGGAGAGAGGTACCCAGAAAGGAAAAAGGAAAAAAAAAAAAGAGCTGCATCTGTCTGAGAGTTTCTGTGTCTGTCTCTCCTGCTTGGGTACATTTGGGTCTGCACCTCAGACTGTTAGTAGATCTGCCTTTTCATCTTTAATGCTATTTGTGAAGGATTTCCTTTTGATATCTCTTGCTTTCTGCTCCTCTAGCTTTATGGCCAATACACAGACCAGATAACTGACTTTGCAGAGAAGGAAGCAGCAAAACTACTGAATGAGAAGCGGGCCCAAAAGAACAATGAAAGACCCCTGAAACGCGAGAGTCAAGTAGAGATCAAAGAAGAGCACTATTCCAAATGTCAAGGTAGGGACAATTCATCTGTCATTATCCTATGACCAGATATTGAGTAGGCCAGCCAGAGAGATGGAATTTAAGCAAGGCAAAAAAGACAAGAAAATTGTGACTGGGAAGAAGCAGGGAAGGAAGGAAAAGGAATCACGGTGGATCAAAAAGATTTTCTCATGTGAGCTTTCATCCTAGGAAGAGTCAAGACCTGTTTGGAAAAAAGACCAGACCCAAGTTAAGAATTTTTTCCATAACAGATCTCTGTAACAGGAGGAAAAGGACTTTCTTGTATCAGATTTTTGCTGCTAGTGCACAAGATATTAAATTCTGCCCTGTGTCGTCCCCCCCCCCCCTTTTTTTTTAAACTGCATAAGATTTTGCAGGACTGTGTAAGAGATGGATGGGTACCAGTCCTTCAACACAAAGACCGTGATTCTTCCAAATAAATACTTATTGTAGCCAGCTCTCAGCATGGAGAGATGAGACAGACACAGGCTTCATCTATGTTCCCTCAGTTTTTCTGGTTTGCTCTTCCCTCCGCAGACTGTGCTAGACGCATCCAGAAATACGTTACCAAGAAGCTTGGAGAGGACTGGATTTTCTTGGTTCTGTTGGGTCTGGTCATGGCGTTGGTGAGCTGGGGAATGGATTATGCCAGTGCGAAGAGCCTACAGGGTGGGTCCCATTCAGGTGTTGCAAAAAGCACACGGTAAATGATATGAAAATTTTACAAACCCCAGTGACCAATGCTCCCCCTCCTTTAACATGGGTGCTCATCCTCACCCCTTGCTGCCTGGGAAGTGTAAAGTACTTGCAACATAGTAGAGAAAAAGTTAACTAGGGAGAGGTTCTTTAAAGGGATGGCAGGGAAAAAATTGGAAGCAAGCAGGTAGGAGCAAAGGATATGTGTATGATGAGTCATAGACAAACCATTATTTTGACTGCCTTTCCCTCCTGCTCCCTTGAGTATGTAGGGCACAGGGAAGTGGTACTGTGGTCCTTCCTATTATACTGGTTCCCATCCGCCCCAGGAATATTGAGCACATGGGGGATGGGGAGGGGAAGGAGCTCTTAGATGCCCTCCTGACACTGTATCTGCTTTTTACCTCATTATTGTTCTATCCAATTTTTATTTATACAGTGCCCTGCAGTTTCCTGCTACCTGGCCACATAGTGCTCTCTCCTTCGGCTCTCTTCACAAAGATCTCCTGATCACTGTCTTATAACCCTTCCCTCCATTCTTCCTGTGGTCCCTCTCCCCTTTGCCAGGTGTAACAATTACAAGATCTTCCAGTCCCCCTGTCCCCCGCCTTGGTGCACACACAACATTGCCCACATCCTGTTAACTGCACTGCTGCTTTCTCCTTACCCTCCGTGTCCCAATCCTGGGCTGCACGCACACCCCACCCCTTTCCTCTCAGAGGTCTTGGCTTCTGATGTCCACCACACACTGCAGTTCCTCAAAGCTCCCAATATTCCTTCAGCCCAGCATTCCTCCCTCTAAAGCTTCCCCATCTACCAGGTGTCTGCCTCACCCTACCAGTCTCAGAGAGCCCCTGTCCCTCATACTCCCTGCAGCTTAGTCCTTTGGGTTTTTTTCTTTCCCTCCACCAAGTCTCAGCCTTCTGCTGTGTGAAGAGCCAGCTCGGGCAAAGAAGTTGCAGTTCAGTTTGGATTCTCAGCAGCTCGTGCTGTTGTACCTGGCTGAGCAATGGTACCACTGCTGTTTTAACGGTTGGCACAGCTCCCTTCATGCTGCTGCTCTGAAAGGCAAATCATAACTAGAGCTTTTAAGGTAGTTCTTGTGAAGGAACGATTTTTCATGTGATTGAGATGGAGGAGAGGGCACTAGCTATTGATGGACCAGTTTGTCATCCTTCAGGACCCAAATAAGGCCCTCAGGCTGCCAAATGAAAAGACCCTGGACAGTGATTCATCCTCACTGCTGCATGTAACACACCTCTTCTTACACCACATTTGGGCACAGGTATTAATAGGGTCTAAGAACAGAGAGCCACTTCTATCCATTCCTGCAGAATGCCCGTTTTATCTGGGAACTTGTACTCAAAATCTAACAAGGCTTGTCTTAGAAAATGAGGACTTTAGGATAGCATTTCTCAGGGAGATTTAGTATGGGCAGATTTAGCAAGTGTGTGATTCTTTGATGTCTATCAACCTGTTCGGAGCAGCTGTAGTGACTGACAACTTCTTTGTTTGTCTGCCTACAGCCTACAAGTGGATGTACAGAGAGCTGCACCCGAATGTTCCTATGCAGTATCTGGCGTGGGTCACATACCCACTTGTTCTTATTCTGTTTGCGGCCATTTTCTGCCACCTCGTCTCTCCGCAGGCTGTTGGTGAGGGCAGAAGGCATGGCAAGATCTGTTTCTGTCTGTTTCTTCTTCCATTTGCCTGCAGGTTTTGTTCATCCCCTGCTCTGCTGTTGTTTTCAGGGTCTGGGATCCCCGAGCTCAAGACCATTATGAGAGGAGTGGTCCTCAAGGAATATCTCACTCTCAAAGCTTTTGTGGCCAAAGTCGTAGCCCTCACAGCTGGGCTTGGAAGTGGCATGCCTGTGGGGAAAGAGGTAAATATTGCTGTTTTCATGTGCAGTAGTGGCCAGGGTCTGGGAGGTGGAAGGGGTTGTCTGTGAAAGCAGAGTCTATAAGTGTTTTCTTTCTTTTGCCACCATTCCTCTTCTCAAAGCTCTGCTCTTTCCAGCAGCATTTATCTTCTCTTGGCCATTTTCCTTTCACTTTGAAAGGCTTGATAGAGAAAACATCAAAGAACTCAAGTCAGGTGTTCTCTGAGGGCGGGGGGGGGGGAGAAGATTGGAGGACTGGCTGAGATGGCCAAAGAGAAATTATGAGAACTGCAATGGCTAAGTGGTTGTCAGTAACCAGAGGGTAACCCTCTCTGATTTTTCTCCTTCTCTTGCAGGGTCCTTTTGTGCATATTGCCAGTATCTGTGCTGCAGTACTCAGCAAATTCATGTCAATCTTCTGTGGTGTGTATGAGGTAAGGCACATGTCTCTGCATACAGCTTTTCCACGGGTTGAACTCCTAAGACACTTAGGATAGTTTTGGTAGGCCACAAAACACAGAGGAAACATGGATTGAAGTTCACTGTACTGCTACAGAGCAGTAAAATACAAGCGAAAGAAAATGGTAGTGGGAGGCCAGATATACAGTTAAATAACTGTGCAGGACCACCAATGTTACCTACCAATTACACAGAGGCTGGTTAGGAATATGCATTTGACAAGTTTTCAGTATCATGATGCTGATACCTTTGCACTGTGATCGTTGTCTGCATAAAAAAGTAGCTGCAGACAAAGATCAATTTGTCTTTAAGCCAAATTTATACAGCATTGCTAATTATAGACACTGACACTGCCTCTAGGCTTTTGCTGTTGCAGAACAGCCTCTGCAGGCTGATCACTGTATTGACTAGTTGTATAAAAAACAATCTTATTAACTGCATATATAGCTAAATGTAGGAACTGCTTTACATACAGGCTCTTAGCAGAAACTGGCTGTGTAATACAACAATGGGCGGTGCTGTTCTACTTGAGTAGATCCTGTCTGTGCGTAAGGACCAGATGTCACTGCTGAAGACCAGCTGACAGTACTAAAGTGTGTAGAGCCTGCTACTTGTAATAGCAATGGCTGAATCTGCTGCTGGCTGTTGCTTTATTTCATTGTTCTGGATCCTAACCCCTTGGCTTTGCTCCCTCTAACCCCAGCATGCCCTTCTCTGGCTGCACTCTCTGTTCCAGAATGTGCATAGGCAGTTCGACCTCCTGGTGCCGGCTTGCGCAGTTGGAGTTGGATGTTGCTTCGGGGCTCCTCTTGGAGGCAAGTGTCTTCCTATATGTGACATTTAATGTACAACTCATTTAGCCTCTTGCTGTGAGATTTCCTGCTCTCAGGAAAGGTTCTCCACGGATACCTCTCTGCTCTAGCAACACGAGTTCTTTGTTTTCACGTGTAACTGGTGGCAGTGAAAGAAAAGGAAGATTATAGGAAAAGTGACACCTATTGACGTGCTGATTTCTAATGATGCAGCTTGTTCAGTCCCTGCCTGCTGTGGACATTGTTCAAACTGGAGAGCACCAAGGGCTGTCCAGAAAATCAGTAAGGATTGAGCAGAGAACAGAAGTTAAAAAAAACCTTCATGTAAGGAGTAGCAACATCGAAGGGCAGAAGGTGATGGCAAGTATGACAGGAAGTGATAATGTGAACAGGAGACTACGAATACTTCATCAATGGACTGGACAACAGAAATATCAGTGTGTAAAGTTTTGGGCTCCCCATATAGAAGAGATGCAAAGGGCCAGTAAGATGGTTGGGAGGTTGGAGTAATAGTATATGAGGAGAAGCTGAGGAAGCTGTGTTTGCTCAGCCTAAAGGAGAAAATGCTAAAGGGGGATGGTCTGCCTGATGTCATCAACCACTTAAAGAGGGATTTTAGTGAAGATTGATCCAGGCTTTTTTCAGAGCAGTGCAGCGCAAGGGGCACAACTTGCAACAAGGGAAATTCTGACTGTGTATAAGGAAAATATATACCCATCCCCTCAGGGTGGTTCAGTGCTGGCACAGGTGCCCAGAGGGTCCAGAGAATCTCCACCCTTGGAGATGTTCAGGACTCACCTGGACAAGAACCTGACCTAGCCTTGGAATTAGCACAGCTCTGAGCAGGGAATTGGGGGAGACACCTCCAGTGGTCCCTTCCTACCTTTCTATGATGCTGCTGTGAGGAAAAATGTGGAAATTTAACTGTCGCCTCGCATTTGTACTAGTCTTCTGCTTCACAGAATTTCCTTAAACAGCACGTGTGCCAGAGGCACGTGGTAACTTCTTCCAAGAACAGTGGAAATATATTCATAAATAATTTGTCTTAAAATGTTCTCCATTCTTTGTTGTGCCTTCATTTCACTTTCCACCCATGCACTGCCCTGAACCTCTCTCCACGCTTATTGTGCCCAGAAATTTAAGGAGCTTTTGAAATGCGATGTTTTTTCTAAGTTGGCTTTATTTCTACCATGTACTACCTTTCTGATAGTCTTCAAATGGATGAGCTAGCTGACAAATGCAACATGGTCTTGCATCAACAATAATAATGATCTTTACTCTAGTTTGCTTTAAAAAAAAAGGAAGGAATATAGTTTGTCAGCTACAAATTAGAGGTTCTTCTGGTGAAAGCTTGAGAAAAGATGTGCCAGGAAGAAAATCAGGTTCAGCAAGAGAGAGGCTGAGAGCTGTGTATATGTGGGCAATATAGCAAGTTGGAGACAGCCTGAGCTGAAGCCTGAGGCTTCAAGGCAAAACTTGTAAGTCTGCCAAAAACTTTGAGAAAAAGCAGGTTCTGAACCAAGGTTTAGACCACAGTCAGGTGGAAACATTGGTAGTATACAGGAGAATGGTATGTCTCTTAATGGTAAAAAAACAATGCAAAATACCAAACCCAAAAAACCTTCCATAACACAGTCTACAATTCTTGTTTCTTTCTCAGTGCTTGGAATTAATATAGTCTCAGAGACTGCAGGACACATTATACATAGCTTACTAGAAGAGGCTAGAGAAGAAAAGAGAAGGCTAAAGGGGGAGTAGTCTAATTGCTGTCTTCTGTAGCTAAAGGAGATGTTAGACAAAATAGCCAAATTCTGAGAACAGTGGAAGGACAGGAGACAACAAGGCATAACTTGCAACAAGGGAAATTCTACCTATGCATTAAAAAAAATTCTCCCCTTGCCCCAAAGGTGGTTCGGAGTGGCACAGGTGTCAAGAGAGTCTGGGGAATCTCCACCCTTAAAGGTGCTCAGGGCTCACCTAGCACCCTGATCTAGCCTTGAAGGTAGCCCAGCTCTGAGCAGAGAGTTGGAGAAGAAGCATTCAGAGGTACCTTCCAGACTAAAACTTGCTGTGAGTCTGTGGTAACGTTGTAGTATGGGAACAAACTGCAAGTTAGCTTTTGTAGCCCTAGTTGGGTTCCTCTTATGGATTCACACCAAATTGCTGAAAGTTATTTCTGTTACCTGGGAGTCATGTATTCTTTAGCTGACCTTAGTTCAGGACATAGCTTGCAACTTCACATCATATGCCCAGGGTGTATAACTTCTTGGTGGTGTTGCTGATGAACATCACCTTGTGTATTATTGAAGAGCCCTCAAAATGGATTTGAAAAGCTAATTTAGCCCTCAACAAGCAAAAGGTGGCCAGCCTACTTTTTCTGAGTGTACTCTGGTACTCTTTGTCTGTTTTGGTCTATCTGGCTAGTCCTATGCTGTTACACAGCACCAGCGCTCTGACACAGTGCTGGGTCCTGGGCGATGCTGTATGCCACAGGCTGTTCTCAGTGGTTGCTCTAGGTCTCTCTATCTCACACTGTTCTTCAATGCTGTCCCATCAGGCTTCGCACCTTCAAACAACTCTAATTACCTCTTGTCATACTGCAGGCCATGTGGCATGTACCCTCAGTTTCAAGCTGTTAATCAGCATGCTGGTGGGCTGTAACACAACCCTCCCGCTATTCCAGACACTTTGAACTGAACCCCATCCCTGTTCTGGACATGATTATGTCTTAAGGCCACAGGGGCACTAGCAGGGCCCAGAAGTTACCTAGGACGAAGCTGTGGATATGGACACATTCCTCTGGGTCAGGGAACGGTCCATGACCCTTTTTTGTTGGGTTGGGCAGAGACAGCCTTGAGATGCCTTTTGGTTGAGCGTCTGTCAAACACCTGCTCAGGAAAACAGGAATTCATGGCCTTCTGGCCTTAGAATCCAGCCTGGCCACTTAGATTCCCACCATAACACAGGACCACCCTGTCTCAAAACTCTCATGGGACATCTAACAGGCTACTTTGGGAACACGTGATAGTAGAAAGTACCAAATACACAGGCTTTTAACACTGGTGTATTATACACTACCTAGGTTTTGGTTTATTTTATTTTGTCTATATCCTATCTCACCTTTCACCATTCTCAGGTACCTCAGGCCCAAATCTTAGAGAAAGAGTGGAAGAGCATTTTCTTCCTTTCAACAGCTCTGTGTCTTCCAAAACAACCTCAGGAGAGACTCTACCTTTTATACCTTCCATTTCCTTTTATTATCATGATTGTTTTTACCAGGATAGCGCAAGCTTTACTAGGTGATCTGTTACCCACTCACCTACCCGTAAGACACATGCATCCTGAGATTCCCTGCTAAAGTAAAAGAGACGGAGTAAAATATACTTATGTGCCCTCCACTCTCTGAAGGATTTTCCACAAGATATTTCTTCTACAGTAACAGAAATGTGCATGTTTCAATGCAAGATGAGTTGCTGCCTTGTCCACATGTCTTGAAGATGTGATTCCAGGTATATGCCTGTCTTGTGCCAGGTCTTGTCTTTTGAAAGTTTTGAAGCCGTCCAGAAGGGAGAAGCAATATCAATATAGCTATAACTCTGAGACCGGTGACAGCATGTGGCTGTACCTGCCAATTCTGTTACTCACTCTCTGCTTTCTGTCCTTCTCTCTTCTGTTTGTCTGTCTCTCTTTGTCTCTTTCACCAGTAGCAGCCATATTATTACACGGATGTCCTGACTGTGGGTTGCGCTGTGGGGGTCGGCTGCTGCTTTGGGACACCACTTGGAGGCAAGTGGCTGTTCTGTTTCCTTTTTCTCAGGTACCTAAATCCTCTCCTGCATAGTCCTCTTCTCCTCTCCCCCTTTCCTGCACCGTATTTTTGATCTGTCATCTACTTTGAGCAAAGAAGCTTACTTTTAGCATTACCAACCTCCTCAGCATCTCTGACACAGTCTTTTTTCCACATGTCAGCCTTCTGGAGGCAAGGGTGGAAGGCTCTCTAGAACAGTGGTCTCCAAAGGGGTGTGCAAGATGATCCATTGGGGTGTGGGAAGGAAATATTGGAATGTCTCTGGTTTTTGGGTTTTTTTTAATTAAAAAAAAAAAAGGAACTAAATTAAGCTTCACTAATATTGGAGCGTATGTATTGGCAGTGGTGCCCTCACTCAGTACGTATGTCAGATGGCCGCTTGTCACATACAATGCATGAGTTGTCCTGGGTGTAGAGTTGTTCACAACACGGAGGGCTGACAGTGGTGTCCTCATTCATTTACCCACTTTCAACATATTGCAATGTCTTGCAGTCAGTGTGTGCCCACTTAAGTGGATTTATGAATTATATTATATAGTGTTAACTAACCCTCACAAAATGGACAAGTGGCTTAAAAAGATTCCTGCAAAGAGACAGGGGACTGAAGATACTACTAGTAATGTGAGCACAGATGAATGACAAGAAAATGGCAGAGCTGACACTTGTCCTACTCCTAGTACAGGTTCTTAATCAGCCACATTACGTGGTACAATGACCAGCTAATCAGATCTGACAAGAAGTTGGCAAAAAATAATTAAAATTATCAAAGGCTATTTTAAATATGGATTTACATCTGCCATCATTAATGATGAACCTCACCCTAAGTGTATACTGTGCTTTGAGAAGTTACCTAATGGTGGCATGAAGCCCGCAGAATTAGCAAGACATTTAAAAGCTAAGCGTCCAGAACAGGAAGACAAACCTCTACAATTTTTTTCAATGATGTTTCAAGCTATGTGATATTCAATCCAGTACTTTACAGAATTTCATTGAACTTAATGATAAATGTTTAGAAGCCTTCTTTGAGGTTTCTTACTTCATAGCAAAAGACAAAAAGCCACATACCACTGGGGAAACACTTGTTCTTCCTGCCATGGTAAAAATGGCTGCAGTGATACGCAGAAAGCAATATGGTGGCAAACAAATGCACTCCTTTGTCAGCAAACACTGTTGGAAGATGCATAGAAAACATTCCTGAAGATTTGAAGAAACAAGTATCAGTACAAATTACACAGTGTGAGAGGCTTGCTATGCAGCTTATGGTATTTGCTAGATTCTGTTTTGATAGTGAAATGCATGAAGAAGTACTTTCTGTGAGCCACTAAAGGAAAGACCTACCAGAGAAGCTACATTCTCAACAGTAAATTACTTCTTTAATAAAAATGTTTTATGGAAAAGCTGTGCAAGTGTAATGACTGCTGGAGCAGCTGCTTTGGCATAAGAAAAGGATTGCGTGGTAAGGTTACATAGATAGCAACACACCTGAAATTCATTCCCTGCGTTGTTCTCAGGCAAGCTATTGCAGCAAAGAAATGGGAGCCAATATGCACAAAGTACTACAGGATGTCATCGATGTGGTTAATTTTGTAAAAACAAGACTTTGGAACAGCAGAATCTTTACAGTACTTCCTAATGAGATGGGGAGTGACCACGAAAATCCTTTGTACCATACAGATATTTGCTGGTTATCTCGTGGTAATGGGCTTTTAAAAGACTTGTTGAATTTAAAGACCAGTTACACGTTTTTCTTTTACAAAAAAAGAAGTGTTCTGAATTTGCTGATCTTTTCTGTGATGACACACGTCTGTCAGTAGCATGCTACCTAGCAGTTATTTTAAAAAAAATAAACACATTTAATGCATCCCTTCAAGGTGAAAGTGACATTGTAACAGTGGGTGAGAAAGTAACTGCTTTTCAAAAGAAACTGTACAAGTAGAATGTAAGTGTGTCACCTACAAAAACTCTCATATGTGTACACTTAAAAAAAACCTCGGAAACAGAAATTTCTAACCTGTTTAAAAATCTTCCAGATCAAGAGTTTCAGTAGGGTTTGAACCCATTTGTTAAAGATATAAAAATTCAACACCTTCTGATTAGTTTGCAAGAACAACTGATTGACATCAGGGAAGATGGAAATTTATTATCCAAATTTCAACAAAAATCTTTGCATATGTGGTGGATGGGATTGAAAAAATAATACCATGATTTAGTCAGCACAGCCAATGATGCATTTCTTGCATGTGGATTTATGTATCTTTATGAGATATCTTTTTTGGCTATGACAGCCATTAAGACCAAGTATCAAAATAAACTGAACATAGAACCAGACCTTTGGATCACTGTATCACAAAGCGTTAAACCAAGATATTAAAAAATAAAGAATAATATCAATATTTTTAGCGAGAACAAAAATTCTTTTGTTCCATTAATAAGTAAAACAAATTTTTAAAGTTTTGTTTATTTCATCTTTACCTCGTCCTTTTTTAATTTCTATTTTTTGTGTATGTTTTATATTGTACATAATATATTAGTACAGTAGTACACGTATATAATTTTTAAATAAATACACATATATTGGGGGGTATGTGCTCAAAAATCTTTTATTGGTAGGGGTGTGTGATCAAAGAAGTGTGGAGACCACTGCTCTAGAAGGCTATTAGAAGTCTCTCTCACACTTCTAATGTTACACTTCTGATTTTAACTTAGCTCCCTTTCCAACTCTTTCTAGGGGTCCTTTTCAGCATTGAGGTCACTTCCACTTACTTTGCTGTGCGCAATTATTGGAGAGGTTTCTTTGCAGCTACCTTTAGTGCCTTCATTTTTCGAGTCCTTGCTGTTTGGAACAAGGATGCAGGTAAGCTAAGAGCCATTCCCACTGTCTGTACAAAAGTTGCTCTATTAATTTATTCTTTTCCATCTTCCTGAAAACCACAACCTTGTATGATGTTTGAAACTTCTGCCGTGACATGTGACTTCTAGCACTACAGAAGGAAAGAGAAAGGGAAGTATTTTATGTCATCAATTGTATAACCCAACCTATTCCTAGATGTGCTGGAGATATGACTGAAAATGACTGAATATGAGTCCTCGGCAAGTAAGAGGGCCTCTGAGGTGGGATTTTTGCCTCTTCTCAGCATAATGTCAAGGCTGCAGACACAGAGGTATCCCATCCCAAAGGACGTAATACATACTGCAGTGTATACTGCTGTGATCTGCTGGAAATGCCATGGCCTGCTTTTGTCATCTCTTGACTAGAAGCACAAAAACCAAATAGTCTAGAAAATTGAGATGATAAAATGATTAGGACGCTACAGGATTGGTATGGTGTGACTGAAGGTCCTGAAAGAATAACTGTCTCAAGTAAACTGAGAAGTGTGTGTGCAACATCTGTGCAGACAGAAACAGCACAGGACAAGCTTGTTCAGGAGAGAATCTCAGATACTGTGGGGATGGAGTTCTAGCTGATGCAGAAGGCTACCATTTCTTTGTAAACCTCTCTCTTATAATGTCTTCATCTTTTATATTTACAGTTATAGCTATTTTATTGAGCTGAGCTCTATGTGGGCAGTTCCCTTACTTAAAACTGCTGTAACTTATGTCTCTCTTGACTTCACAGGGTTGGATATTTTTGTACTAAAACATTATTTGGCTTGAATATTCTCTTGAATACAGAAAGGGACTACACTTTCTACCTGAATGTAGAAAGTGACTACATCTTTCTTTGTGAAACACTGCCTCATACTGAGCGGTATTCAATCTGTCACAAAACCCACATCTTTCTGTTCTTTCCAGAGGAAAATATAAGAAATTCAAAGATAGATGACAGGAGATAATTTCCTATCCTTCACTTTATCTACTCTAGCTCCCTTGCTGATCTCCCAAATCATTAGAAATCAGCTTAATCCTGAAACCTCTTAATTACTGTCCCTTCTTCAAAATTATCCAGACAGCTTTAATACCCACATTAATGGCTCCTTACATTCTGCTTCATTGACTGTCTGGGTTAAAAAGTTCCATGATCCAATTGTCCATGAAAAATAGTTCCTTTTCATAGGTCTGAATTTTCTTTGTCTGTGTTGCCAGTATCCTTGTCCTTGTATTAAGGAACTAGAAACTTTTGTCTAGCTAAGTCATTCATTATTTTATGATCTTTTATCGTGCCTGCTCTAACTTTTCTTTCATGTCTTTTCTTGCTCATTTCCTTCTGAAAGTTACAAGCCCTGTCTTTTTAGTCTTTGTTCATGCAAGGGTTTTTCTTAGGCCCCCTCTCTAGTGTCTTCACAACCTCTAAAGTCTTGCCTACTCCCAGAAGTCATGTACTCGGTAGATAAGCGGATGTCTTTGTGCTAGTTTCCTGTATGGCTACTATTATCACCCAGTAAGAAAGCCTTTGTATGAGGTGGGTTAATGTACTTGAAAGTGGAAGAAACTGCTTCCCTTATGTGCACCTACCTATAATGTTCATGTGCCACATGTAAACTATTGCAAATTCATACGTAATATGTGAAATAACTTTTCTGCTTAGGCAAGCATTTGCCATCTTCTTCCAGACTATTTTTGAGATAAAATGATCAGAGTTCCAAGCAGGTGTGGCTATTGCATGGATCTACTGGAAGGCATTACAATATTGCAATGCAATACTGTGCATTACGATATCATTTTTATGCAGCTTTTGCACATTTCTAGCAGCTGCAATTAGGAAAATGGTAAAAAGACCATTTTCTTTGCGCTGTCTACACTGATACAACTAGCTTCCTTGAAATACAATTGTTAAATTAGATTCTTTTCTAATGTATCTGTAATCTTGCCCAACTGTATTACTTTGCATTCAGCAACGCAGAACATTGTCTTTCTTATGCAGTCCTCTCTGCTTCCAACCAGGGTAAACTGATTCAGTATCATCACGTGCAGATTTTGCCGTCTTCCACAGAAAATCCTGAATCATAGAAAGATTTAGTTTGGAAGAGACCCCTGGAGCTCTCTACTCCAAATTCCTGCTTACAGGAGGGACAACCTTCCACTGCCTCCCTGGGCATCTGTTCCAGCGCTGAATCCCTTCCCCAAAAAGAAGCATTTGCTCCTTATAGGTGGACAAAATTCCCGTGTTGGAAGTCATGCCCATTGCCTCTTTTTCTTTCACTGTGTCTTTACGACTTCCCCACGAGGTAGGGGAGACTGCTGTTAGAACCCCCTTGGGCCTTCTCGTTTCCACACTGAGTAGACCTATCTCCTGCAGCCCCTCCCTGTGCCCATGCCCTGCATCTTCTTGGGGCTCACTACTGGGCTCTCCCCAGTTTTGTAACATTTTGTTTGTAGTGGGTTTTCTAGATGTGGCTTCATCACTGCCATATAGAAGGAAATAATCACCACCCTCTACCAGCTGGTTGTGTTTTTGCTGACGTGGCCTAGTGGTTAGCTTTCATTTCCACAAGGGCACATATTAAGCATTGTCTCCACCAGGACCCACTGGCATGAGAGCAGAGCTTTTCCTCTTCACTAGGCCCCCACACCTGCCATTCCAGGTGCAGGACTAAATATTTGTCTTCGTTGAATTTATGATGTTCCTACTGGTCAACTCCTCCGGTGTGTGGAGGCCACTCTGTGTGAAACCCTCCAGGTGACAAACCACCCCCTTCTCTCCCTCCCCAGCTCAGTATGGTAACTGACGAGTGAGTTCCATCCTATACATCTAGGACCCTGATGCAGATGTTAAACAGAATCAGCTCCAATATTGACCTCTGAAGAAATCCATTCAACACCACGGGGACCCAAGAACTCCTGCTACATGTGTACTATGGCATGTATCATTACATGACTGACACGATAAACTCACTTTTTTTCTCTCTCTGGGGTAGCTTCTGATCCATAATAATATTTTCCCTTTTGCTGTTTGATCAGTGGACCTCTACATGAGGCTCCACAGCCTCATGTGGGACCTCTTAATAATCTAAATAAATACCATTCCCCTTAATCTGGCTTCACTGTTCTGTTAAGAAAAACTCTACATCACAAAGTTTTTATACATTTGAATTACCTTTCTGGGTTTTTTCCCTGGCTTTGAGGTTCAAAATAAGTATTTACAGGGTTGTGCTTGCTTTTAAAATCTAGACGTGTATTACCGATTTGCCAGGTGCTAATGCACAGGTCTCTTTGCACTTCACCACATTGCTCCACAACCTTCTTAAACACATATGCTACCCATCAGTCCCCCTCCAGGCCCTGGAAGCCCTGATGCTCATTAGAGGTGAATTATTTTTTTAAATAGCTCATCTACCTCATTCTTAATCTGCCTCAGATCTTAATGCCTTAATGTCCTGTCTGGACAATTAACAAGTAATTAATGCCTCCTGTAATAATCATATAATGCTAGATTTTCACTGCTTCTTTTCTCTCCTCATTGTGCAAATAAATCTTTCATCCAGGGCAAGTTGGGTTTTAGATCCATCCTCATTCAGCTGCATTTCCACTCTGCATAGATTGCTAATTTGTACTTCACCTGTTGGCATACAGATGTTTACTGTTTCCACACAATTAGGTACCTCCAGGTAAAAGCAGGACAGGTTTCAACATCTGAGTCATTTTAGCAGTGCAACACTGCCAGGAGAGGTGAGCTGAAGAAGATGGGGCTTAGCTGTTATTTTCCATCTCTGATTTCTAAGACTTTCATTCTTTTGGTACCAGTCAAAAGTTTTCCAGATATAACTTCAGAGAGGATCTGAGTTTTGTTTCTAGAAGGCAATCACAACTGTGCATGACACAGCTTCTTTGGATATGTAAGCACTGCCTGCCTTGGCAAAGAGAGTTTTCAGAGTCAGTACTTTCTAGAGACTAGATGGTGGAAGAAAAGAAATAAAACCCTTTAAAAATCTGGGATTGTAGGTAAAAATATATAGACATTCTCTGAAAACAAACCTGTACCATCTAGAGCGCTAGGGTTGGAAGCACTCAAAATAGGCACTACTAAAATCAGAGCAGTCTGCCAGTCTGTAATATTGTATATAATGTCGTGAAACCACACAGGAGCACGTATAAACTAGTTGCTCTGTCCCTACCCCTAGCTTTTAGGGCATTTAACTTCTCATCTTCCCTTTCCTCCTCTACCTCTTTCTTCTCTTGCAGATACCATCACAGCCCTGTTCAGAACGAACTTTCGCATGGATTTCCCTTTTGATCTGCAAGAGCTGCCAGCATTTGCTGTAATAGGGTAAGTTCCCAGGAACCTGGCTCCTTGCTCTACAAAGGTTATCATGTGAGCTCTGTTAGAAATTCTTTTGCAAAACAGTTACATACATCTCTTTTAGACATTTTGATTGTCACAAATAAGGCCTCTGCTTGTTGGGATTCCTCCTTCAGAAATGGTGCCCATGTAGCACAATGGGTAAGGAAGGAAATGTGGGTATTACCAAGCTCTTTGTTATTTCCTTTCCATATATGACTTTTTCAGAAATTAAGTTCTGGGAAAAAAAGTAAGTCTAACTTGGTCTAGGTTCTGGATATAGATTTACTAAATGGCCCTTTAACTGTTTTGATGGCATCCCCAAATGAACTGATGTAACAAGTATGGCCTTTTCACTTGACAAAAATGGGACAAAAGATTTAACCAGGAAGTTTCCCTTTTACAAGGTCAGAATGGTTACCCTTTTCAAGAGAGGTTGGTACACTCAACGTGGTGGCAAGGGTAACTTAACCGTAAATGGATTCAGAGAGAACAGTTAATTTATTAAGATGAGTGTCAGTTTTATTTTATTTACAGAGATATCTGAGTTGGTTTCATTTGTGGAGGAAATTTTGGGAAATGAAAGAATGAACTTAAGAAAAATGAGAAGAGAATTATGAAATACTAGAGAAAAAAAAGAGTTTGGCATTGCTGTGAGGAAAAGTCTTGCATTAGAGCTTGAGAGAGGCTCCAGGGAAATCACTGCAGAGCAGTAGTGAAGGGAATACGCTGTAGGAACAAATGCCTGTGTTGGTGTTGTGAACATATGCTGTTGCAAGACTTGGATCCAAGACCAGAAATATATTTGAAATTTTCCAGCTCCTTTTAGTAGGCTGCCCTCATATTCATTTATTTGTATATGAACTCAAGTGGGATTTTTTGATGACATCAGATATGGTGAAAATCTATTAATATACAGGAGCTTTTGCTAGTAGTATGTATCCACTTTGTTCTTCTCCTTGAATAGACTTGCATGCTGAACTCGGGGGAATCTATTTATTTAGACTGGCAAGGAAAAAGGTAATTTTTATGATTTACAGCTGACCGAATGCAAAACTTCTTGTCATTGTGTTTTGAACAGAGCTGGCAGAGTTGTTTTTTTTTCAGTACCGCACATAGGCTAGGGAAAGGAGTATACAACCACTGTGAAGTGCTTTCAAATGCCTAGCTGTCCAACGTGATTTTTTTTTTAAAAAAAAAGCTAGACTTGGATAGTCTTGAATAAAGTCCTGACGCCAGCTTGGAATACTCCAAATGCTCTTAATATTAAGTCTCAAAGTTGAACTCTCTTTCTATCCGACGTATTTCTTCACTTTCAGGTAGGACAAAAAAACTGTGCCAGCCCAAGCACTATCAACATGTAGATCTTGTTCTTCTGTGCAACAACAGCAAATGTTGTTAATTTGCAAAATATATACAGGAGGACCATTTCTATTTTATTGACAAATTGGTAGGCAGGAATGGATGGATCTATTTTTTAATATAGTGTTACAAAGAAATTCAGTTCACTGTGCAGCCCTTAGGCTTACATTGCAAAATGGCAGTGTATCTGACAAAGAGGTCCAAAGTAACCGCTCTCCTTTCTTCAGGGAGTCAATGTCTTTAAGTGAGTTGTTGTAGGAGTTGCTGTCACCTCTAGGTGACATTTAAAAGACTTCATAAACAGCTGAAGGTGAAAAACACTTAAACTCATTTTCTTGGTTGATGGTTTGTGTATTATCTGTTGTTTGGTATGATTTTATTTCTTTTTTTCCATTTTAGGATATGTTCTGGATTCCTTGGAGCGTTTTTCGTTTATCTCAATCGCCAAGTGGTCCTATGCATCCGGCGTCATACGGCTCTGAGCCAGTTTCTCACCAAATAGTGAGTGCCTTTGAAGATACTCTCTTTAGGGACCGGATTTTTGTACCCTACTGGTATTGGATAGTAACAAATGCTTTCTGGAAGCTAGTAGAACTATTTCAAGTGTAAGATAGTGAAAATATGAGAAACTGAAATTATACGAAAGTAAGATAGCTGCAAACATCAAGACAATTTGTTCCGCACTGGATTTTCTTCTTGATCAGCCCCAATAGTTTCAAATAGTTTCTTGAGTTAGAAGGGAGACTGTAATATTCATTAAGAGGGCAAGGGAAACTTGATTGGACAGAAAATGTTTTTAATTAGAAAATCAATGATCATGCTTCTTAAGGTCATGCTGTGTCTACTTTTTTAGAATATGTAAAAAATAAATTTGACATCATTTATATTTTTAAGAAAATTAAACACAACTGAAATCTAACTATGTCTTTAAACTCTAAATGTTTTTTTAATCAAAATGTAGACACAAATGTAAAGAATGTGCTGCAGTATTGCAGTTACTGCATATTTATGAACCAAAAGCTGAAACTGATAGTAACCAAATGGTGTGAACTGCAGCATGAAAGAGAAATGCAAAACAAAATAAAAATCTCAGCAATAAAGGTTTTACAGGGCACTTGAAGATACTTTTTTTCCCCTCCCTAATAAAGTTATAACCTCCAAAGGTATAACCTGAAGAAGAAGAGGTGGCTAACTGTAAATGTCTTCAGTCTCTTTACAGAAGAAATCTGATGCTGTGAGAATTTTTTAAGTTGAGAGGTGTGGAGGACCTACATTTCTTAGCAAGTTGCAGATTTGAGTAGAAGAAAACCACTAATTAAAAAGAAGTTCAGACTAATTTAATTTATTATGTGGAAGAAAAATTGTCTTTCTTCATTGTGTAGCGTTACCCACAAGCACCAGCAGAGCCATCAGACAAAGCTAATAGAGAAGTGGAACTAAGCCTGAAAAGCAGGAATTTACTTTAAACTTTTGACTAATTTCTCAGAATTGTGTAGGTCCTTAGACTGAAAGAAATTAAACGTTATATGTTTTGTCTTCCTAAATACCACAGCATCTCAGCCAGAACTTCCAGTAAAAAAAACAGTAATTTGTCAGGGGAGACCTGACAGGATTAGTCCAGCACGTGGAGGCAGCTTAGACTTGTGTTGTCTTAGTGCCCATGAAGTATCACGGTGTACCTGGAAACCCATCCTGGGACTGGACAAAGCAGTAGGAAAACACAGATGGCTTCAGCCTGCTGTCCAGCTATGCCCCACTGGTGCAGCACAGCTAGACCCGCTGGCCACCAAGGACACCTTCCCAAAATTTGTGATGGTCAGCAATTCAATGGAAAGAAAAGCAGTTTTTCTCATAAGAATTAATGCAATGGGGGATGCATGCAGAAATGTATGAAAAAAAGGTACATTTAAATACACAAGAACAGGTTACATTGCATGGGGGATGAAGAAGCAAGACTGGCACAATCAGAAAAATGGAGGAGGTGCTGGCTTTTGACAGTAGGTCAACACATCATTGTAAATACACATCCCCCCTCCCTGAGTATTCAGGTTTGTGCATTTTGTACATCCCTCTCTCCCTCTACCTCTCCCATTACATTAATTCTGACAGGAAAAATGGCTTTGCTGACAGTTGAACTCTATGAATGATGATGATCCATGGAGCAGGGCATTAAATTGCCAGTAACAGACTCCAAAGCAACGGATACAGATTTGGCAGAGAGCTTATACAGAAATAGCATTCAAAGTCCTGAAGTGATAGTGCTACAAGAAAAAAATGTGAGGCTATATTTTAACAAACTTTTCTTTCTTTTCAGCCGCCTCATATACCCTGGGGTTATAACCTTCCTTATAGCAACTGTGACCTTTCCTCCCGGATTTGGGCAGTTCATGGCAGGAGAGGTGAGAGTGGGATGTGTGTTTGCAATTCTGTGGAACAGCCTCGCCTTATCCTGTGCCCCAATAACCTTGTGTCATGGAAAGGGGAAGAAAGATATGAGAGGAGTTTGGATTGAGGAGGGGCTATATTCTGAGACTCATGATCTCTGCTATCATCTCCTTCATAAAAAAACTTGAAAAAGGTTTACTCTCCTAAGCAAGTAATAAGGACAATGTTACCCCATGTGTAAAAGTAGTTATCCTTTCACCAGTTCAGGTAAAGTCCCGTCTCTCTTCCTGAAGATTAAAAATGTGAATTAAGTCTCATAATCATGCACTACTGAAGTAAAAATCTCCTCCACTTTCTTGGGATAGTGGTAGAATATTTACTCCACCTAATCTCATAAGTCATGCCTGGTTTTTTTTGCTGTTTAGCTGATGCCACGGGAAGCCATCAGCTCTCTCTTTGATAACTATACCTGGGCAAAATACACAGGGGACCTTCAGATCCTAGGGAAATCTGCTGCCTGGATCCATCCTAAAGTCAGCGTCTTCATCATCATTCTGCTCTTCTTCCTCATGAAGGTAGGAAACACAACTCACCGTAACCCTTCGCCACTCAGAGTGAATGTTCTTAATCCTTCGTAAAATAGTTTGTGAACTGCCAATGAGGAGTTGCTGGGTATGGAATGAAGCACTACAACTGCAATAGGTTCTTACATCTTTTGATGTGATGTCTGCCCACCTTGAATGCAAGATTACCAAAATTATAGGGAATAGTTTCCTGGCCTTAATCTAGTGACCTCCTTCACTGCTCCCTAGATCATCTTCCTCCTGCGTCCTGCTGACCTTTGGTACCCACTGTGTAGTACCTGGTAGGGAGGACTACGTCAGGAAAGATTTCTAAAGTTCCACAAAAATGAATAACTGAGTAAAAAGCTCTCAGATAATTTACATTTGGTCTAAATAAAGTCTGATACAGTCTACTTGATATTCCTGACTACAGATAGGAGACAAATAAGAATATCCAAGCACAATCTATAGTTGTGTGAGGCTCACGGATTTGTTAGCAGTACCGTAACTTCATGGAGAAATGCAGCTGAAAACAGTTCTGCTCACTTCTCGGAAAGCAACAGCAGATTAAATGTTCTGAGCTGACATGGTCTGTGGAAGTTGAAACTGTTCAGCCTCTGAAAAGATCAGCAATGTAACTGATACATGACAGATCAAGAGAAGAGATTTGAAAGAAGAAAATATTATATTCCAGTGTTCAAAATATAAGTAGCAAGAAAGACGTTTTCCTAAGAGGGGAAAAAAAAAAGATATAAGTGTAAAAATATTACAGAAATGGTGATTGTTGTTGTTGTTGTTGCAAAGGAGCAAAAGAGCTGAGGCCCCCTTGCAATATCAGTTAAACATTTCAGTAGATCAGGAATTGACATCAATGATTGATTGACACAGCTGATTCCACCTAAAGTAAAACACTGTATTGAATTTCTGACAGGGAGTTGAGAGTTCTGCTTCTGTGATAATTCTGATTATAGCATACTAAGCGATAAGGTCTCATTTACTTGAAGAAAAGAGGGATGGAATACATGGTGTATCTATCCTGAGTTCATCTGTTCTCCTTTGGAAGAGCTGTATCCTCAGACACTAGATTCATTGGCCTTGTCCCATTAACTAAAGGCTTTCTCAACTCACTAGTTAACTGCTCCAAGCAGTTTATTTCCTTCTGGATATATTCAGAGTTGGGACAGACCACGTAAAAATGAAACCGCTGTTTTGACTCTGGGCAAAGACTTGGTCTGATTCTCCACTGCACTATAGTCCCATTTCTCAGCTGTATTTGGCCTGGGTTTGGTACTGCAAAGGCAGACCTTAGGTAGCAGTACTCCACTGCTGCAGCTTGCTGGCCTCTGTAGCCAGCCAGGAACCTCTCTTCTGGAATATTCCAATGGCTATGGAAGGAAGAGCAACAGCCAGCATCAAATTGATGGTCCAACCCATCCTCACAGTATGTTCCTTTACCATGGGCTGAGAAATGCTGTTCTGATGGCTCTTTGGTACCTTCATAGAGGACTTGCCTAAATGGCAGGCTATATCTTGGCTTCATTTTCCCTTTTATGCCAACCATCCTATGAGAGTTACAGCAGAAAAGCTGTTTTGGGTGGATTTCCTCTCACAAACTGACTGTCTACAGATTAGCATCTCATCTGTCTACAGCTACAACAATGTCTGCAGAGACATCACCTCCTCAAAGATGGACCTTGAACAGGAAGGATTTGCCCACTCTGAGGAGAATGTGGTCCTGAAATACCTGAAAGTATTGCTCTTGATGTGCTGGTCCATGGTTGTCTCTCTGCTATGGATGATACTGCTGCAGCAAGGGACATCTTGCCAGTACACTTCTTTGTACAAACTTTTGAAACAGCAGCATTGTCTGTGTTTCCCTCAACTGCGGAAATCTCGTCATATTGCCTGAGAAAGTCTGACCGTATTGGCCTTTGAGCTGTTTGTAAGATTAGGCTGTTGCCTCCAGAAGAACTCTATATGTGCTGGGCTAAGTCAGCGTTTGAATTGGTCTTAGTAGTACCAGGACGGATTTCATCATTTTGCCCAACATAGTCATAGGGCAAGAGGCAACAGACACCAGCTAGAATAAAGGAAACTTATGACAGTTGGACTTCAGGAAAAAAATCTCCCCTGAGTGTGGGTCAGCAGTGGCACAAATGCCCGGAAAAGCTAGGAAATCTCCACCCTTCAAGATGTTGAGAACTCACCTGGGTAAGGCCCTGAGCAACCTGATCTAACTTAGGAATTAGACCTCTGGGAGCAGGGAGTTGGGAGAGAGACCTCCAGTTCCCTTCACACCGAATTCTTTCTAAGTCTGTGAAATTTTGACAACCCTGTTCTGTGAAAATCTAAGCTGTTTGGAGCAGTAGGAAATCTCAACTTCTGAGGTCCAAGGCAAAGGAGTTCTCATGTTCATCCATCCCCTTGGTGATTCAGCCTCCCTGCCACCACAGCAGCCGCTCTGGTGTGTTGCCAGAGATCTTCCAGCTCCCCTTCACACCCCACAGCCCCTTTACCCTTCACTTTCTGGCTGAACTGCCAAATCCCTCAGAACGTGTCTTCTCATGCATTCACAGGCTGGGTGGTAGAGTGGGGTTATGGGAAATGCTATTGCTGCTCAGTAAGAACCACATCCTCTGCCTCTGTTCTAGTTCTGGATGGCTGTCATTGCTACCACAATGCCAATACCCTGCGGAGGATTCATGCCTGTTTTTGTTATAGGTGAGTTTCAATTCTGTGTTGCAACATATAGGTCTGACAGGTGGAGAGAATAAAAGAGACTTTGTGTGCGTACCCAGTAGGTATCTTCTAGTGGATAAGGAGTCATCACTTGATGTCTATGGCAAGCTCTGTTAACAGTCCATATACCAGCACCTGAGGCTCTGCTTTGGTCATTTTTCCCAGCCCCCAAATCCAAATGCTGAGGAGGAAATCCCTGTCTTTTTACATAAGGAAAGCCACACTGTGGGAAAGCATGCTGAGCCATGGCCTTCTAATTTCTCTGCCTTTTCCTACATAGAAACTTTCATCCTATTAGTAGTAGTTGCTTCTTTCACCCCTGAAGGCCAACTAGAAGAGATAACCTCAAAACTATTACCTGCAATGTAATCCACCACTTACGAATTTCTTCTGACTGAAGTGCAGTAACATACAAGAGTTTATTGTTTTTTAAGTGGCTTTAATTCTAAGTCCAAAAAGTAAAAAGAATATGATGCTAATGTTAAGAAAGAGAGGCTATGTTAGACAAAAGTATACAAGCTCATGAAGTTCAGCATTAAGTACCCACAGCTCTTAAATGGAACGGTGTGCGCTAAGGACCTCTGGGTTCTGGCAGGCAGCAACTGAACATGAGTCAGTAGCATGCCCTTGCAGTGATGAAGGCTAACCACAAACAAGGCTCTATTAGGAAAAAGCCTAGCCAGCAAGGCAAAGAAATTGGTTATTTCCCTGCATTCAGCACTTTGGACACAATTCTGGAGTATGTGCCATTTTGTGTCCACCAGTACAAGAGATTTTGACAAAGTGCAATGAGGCCAGTGGAGGCCACCGAGATTGTTGGGGAGCTGGAGCACCAAACAAACAAGGAAAACCTGAAGAAGTTGGGTTTGTTCAGCCTGTGGAAGGGAAGGCTGAGAGGGGATCTAACTGCAGCCTTCACCACCTAATGCAGCATGAGATAGAGAGGACAGAAAGACTTCTCTGAGATACACACAGTAAACACGAGGTAAAGGCACAAGTTGCAACAGGGGAAATTCTGAAGGGACATAAGAAAAAAATTGTTTCCTTGGTTAAAGTGCTCAGAAAGCCTGGAGAATCTCCATCCTTGCAGACTTTTAAAACTTGTCTGAACAAGGCCCTGGGTGACTTGATCTCACTTTGAAATTAGCCCTGTTGTGAGCAGGGGTTAGAACAAGTCCTCCAGAAGTCCCTTCCCACCCAAACTCGTCTGTAAGTGGTGATTCTATTGTCTGGACATTCATAGAATGAGTGTGTGAAGGGCCTCAATGGTGATCTGGACTGACATTGTACATATTCTGAAAATATTTCCTCCTATCTGGGAATCACAAATACCGCTGTGCCTGGTGTGCCTAAGTGGAAGAATGAGGGGCCAACTGTATTTACACATCTTAGAACCTTTTTCCCCTCCTGGAGTCTAACTTCTATATTCTGTAACTGAGAACTACTCTTTATCCCCAGTACCATTTTAATGTAAGTTTTGATTTTGTTTCTGTTAGAAAATATGCAAGTGATTGCCCAGCACAGCTGCACAGCACAGACTGGGTGCTCCTTAGATGTTAATTCCATAATTGTCAGTGATATTTTCCAGGTGCTGCATTTGGGCGTCTTATTGGGGAAATCATGGCATCGCTTTTTCCCAATGGGATCCTCTTTGATGGTATTGTTTATCAAATCTTACCTGGAGGGTATGCTGTCATTGGTGAGTCTCCATGTCTTTTTTTTTTTTTCTTCGCCTGGTCCCATCCCCATGACTTTCCTGGTCGATATGACATGCTGTTTCTATATGACAGTTTTCTTCTCTCCCTATTCCTTTTTCACCCTACCTGGGAAAGGTGCAGCAGCTCTGACAGGAGCAGTGAGCCACACTGTCTCCACTGCTGTGATCTGCTTTGAGCTGACGGGTCAGATCTCTCACATCCTCCCCATGATGGTGGCTGTCATTCTTGCCAACATGGTGGCCCAGAGTCTGCAGCCCAGCCTCTACGATAGCATCATCCAGGTGAAGAAGTTGCCCTACCTGCCAGACCTGGGCTGGAATCACATAAGGTATAGTAGTAAAACAGAGGAGGAGGTGGGGAGTGGCAAAGAAATAAGGCAGAAGAGGATGAGACCATGGGAGAATAAAAGGTTATGAAAAGGGGATAGTACTACAAAGAAAATGAAAATGCAGAATAGGCCTGCAGCGAGAAAAAACAAGTGGTGGAGTAGAATTAGGGTTCCTACACAGAAACGGAGAAAAGTCCTTTTTTTCACTGAAACCACAGGTTTGAATAATCTGCTACATTACTGAATTTGCATTAATATTGCCAAATTGCTTCAGCTTAAAAATCTAAAAATCAAGTGTCTCATTTCTATTTTTTTCTGAATTCAGTGCGATTTGGACTTTTTTCCTCCAGAAAATGTTTGAAATATCATTTTATTTGGATATATTGCTTAAAACAAAATTCAGTTATTCATATACATGTCTTCCTCTCTCTGTAAATGTAATATACATGGGTATGTATATATAAAACATCTATACATATATGTATATATGTGTGTATTTTTATGGTGAGGGGTAATGGGGTGGAATCCTCTTTGGTTACTCTCACAGAAGAAGATTTAGCAACTGTATTGAGAACACTTCTTAAAGAAGTGGTCATTTATATGTTTCTTTAAAGAATTTATCTGCTAGACATTTTTAATATGCTAACTCTTCCCCTTATTTTCCATAAATTCACAGCAAATACAATATCTTTGTTGAGGATATTATGGTCCAAGATGTGAAATTCGTCTCCTCCAACTGCAAATACCGAGACTTGCAAACTCTACTCCAAAGCACCACTGTTAAGACTTTGCCTTTGGTGGACTCACCAGGTAAGCAATGTGGAGAAACTAGTCCTTCCTGAAGACTGTCTCAGCCTAAAGAGCCAAAGAAACTAGCTTTCAAATCACACGCTGTGAAGGAGACAGTGTGACCCACTGCATAAAAAATCATCCTAAAAGTCTTCCGCTATGAATGATGTATGACAGAAGGCTGTTTCTGCTGGTCAGACAGGTAAGCTGGAGTGTGAGCAGTGAAGCAGCTCTAGCAGGTAAGGGAGGTGTGGGGAAAGTTTGTGGGCTGAACTGTGATGACAGGGAGGGCTCTTGCATAAGTAAAGAGCCTGCTTCTGATGTGGTGCTGAGGAGTGGCACAACTCAGGGATGGTGAGCTTCCCACAACCCCACAGTGTATTAACAGCAACTACCAGGGCTGTCAATGACTCTTCTATAGCTCTAGATAGTATGAGTCCAAGCACTCTGAAGAGGTTAGAGGGAGGAAGGGGCAGTGCGTGGCAGGGGCCATTCAAAACCTTGAAGCAGCTTAATGGCTTCTCTGCTCTGTGTTATGCAGAGACCATGATCCTTCTGGGGTCTGTAGAGCGATCGGAACTGCAGGCTCTGCTCCAGAGACATATAAGCCCAGAACGGCGACGGCTCCTCAACCGAGAAATGCAGCAGAAGCTGTCTGAGGCACCCTACGATGGGCACAGCAAGGGACCATGGGCAACCCTACCAAAGCTGAAGCATGAATCTTTTGCTTATGTTGATGAGGATGAGGATACAGATGAGAAAGGAGAGGTGAGGGAGAGGAGTGGAGAGACTGCAACACAGAAGCTGCTGAAGAAGCAGTAAGGTGTTTGGAGAGGCTGAGAAAGGAATGACACAGGGTGGACTTTATTTTTTCTCCTTTCCATAACAGCTGCCTCGGCCCCCAAGTCCCACTCCCAGTTATCCAGAGGAGCCCAATGGCCCGACCAGTCCTCTTAAACAAATGCCTGAAACTTTGGAGCCACAGCAACTGCCGGGTATGGTAACTTCTGGCGTGCCTCAGTCACATCCTAGCCAGCTTGTGGAAGCTTTCATGCTAACTGTGTGTACATGCCTGTGTGAGGTGCTGATTTCCCAGAGACTGAGAGGAGCTTTCTCTGCTATTCCTTTATTAAAGGTACTTTGTTAATGCACCTCAACATTGGTGTAACGCACGTGGAAATATCTTCTGTCTGTGATCCCTCAGAGAGCATGGTAAAAGTAAGGCCACTCAGGCTGCTCTCTCTCCTGTCAGTAGTCCCCACTCCATCCTTTGCAATAACATCTCCTTGGATATTTTCTGGAGAGTCTGCATGGAAGGGTCCCATCTCTTGCCTCCTTCACCCCGTGAATGAATTTCCCTGGCAAAAGCAGCGTGAGAACTAAACATCTGTACCTGTTTTTTGAGTAGCTTAGGCTGTTGCTCAGCCATCTCCAAAACTGAACAGCTCCTCCCTTGAACACGCATCTCTTTGATTCAGCTACATTAATATGATGGACAAACACTGATGTATTGTGTTCTTTGTGTGCCACCCCAGCCTATATTAGCTCTGCTTCCAAGGCTGTACTCATAGCTCATTTCTGATTTGTATATCATACGTATCTGATGCAGGATGGTGGGGGTTTTTTTCCTTCATGTGTCTTGAAATATGCAGAGAGTGAGTAAGCACAGAGGTGTAGCCCAATCTTGAGCATGAATACAGGGAATAGGGCTCTGGCTCGTGCTTTTGGGCACCCCGCAGGTTAGCATGTAATATAAGCATATAGCACATACTGGTTCCTTAACACCACTCACGCATGACTAAACCTCTAAGGCATAGGAAAATCCACTTCATGCTTCCAGGGCAGTATAGTGGTGGGACAGCCATCCACCTTCCTTACCAAAGCAGAAAAAGAATCACATCAAAACAAGGACAGTGTGTGAGACATTTTACGTGGAGCTAGTACTGAGTGATCAGGAGTGACAAGAGGAAGTGGAGCAGGGGGGACTTCACGAGGCTTTCCCTGACATAATTTTTAGTTTGGCTCACAGCTGTCATTGTTTCTGACCAACCTTCCTCCACAGCCTTGTTCACTTCACAACAGCACCAAACCCTGTCTCATCCTCTTTGCTAATTCTTGACTGTTCTGCCTGAGAGAATAATTCTGCAGTCTTTTTCATTCCCACCATTACACTACTGGCACAACCCATGGACTTCTCACCCCTTTGTATCTATCACATTCAGGCTGTTGATACTCTTTGAAGGTATTTCCAAATTCTCACCTCCCCTTCCCATAGTCATCCTCCAAACCACATTCTCTTTGTGGACTGCAGAAACCTCTCGTCACAGCAGTCTGTCCCTTGTATCAGATTGTTTGCTGTGTTAGTGGTCTTGCTTCTGGTTGTTTTTCTTCAGGAACACTGATTATGACTATTATCTGCAAGGGCTACTTTGTAATGGTTTGGTTCCTCTTCCTGAGGAAAAGATACTGCATGGGAATATTTATTCTGGCATGTCCCAGACACAATCTTACAAATTGAATGCTAGATTGTGACTGGCTCAGCCCTGTCATATATCATCTACTATGTCCCTCATATTATTTCCCAGCTTGTCTGGGGCAAGGAGATGGGCATGGGGCTTTGTATTTTTGTCTCTCACATATTCTTCTTTCTTAGCCATGTGTTTCTTTTCATCCTTCAGGCAATTTCAGGAGTTTGAGGCAACTGATCCAGCAACTCTTGTGCCATTACAACCGTCCACTTGAAACAGAGAGTGCCGTCCAGGTTAGGGATACAGAGAGCCTAGTCAAACCCTGAAGAGAGGAAGGAATGCAATGGAAATAGAACCTACTACTCAAAGCCATTCAGCATTTGGCCAAAGCGTGGACACGCTTATGGTCCTGAACTCTGACAGCATCAGTGGGGAACTCTCTCCAAGGAGAAAGGGTGTGATTACTGTAAAGGAGTGTGCATCTTCCTAAACAGCCATCTGTGCTCAGGTGTCAAGGCTACCATCATGACTGAGTGTGGGCATCTTTTTCTCAGTGAACAACTTAATGCTATTTTGGCTAACCTGGAATAAAGTGCAGTTCTATTCCATTTGGCAAACAGTTTTGGACAGATAAAAAATGAAAAAATGCTTTTGCCTTGTGCTATGTTAGATGACCTTGGATATCTGGCATAGCTGTGCAGGGTTGGTGGATATCACACAGAGCCATCCACTTTAGGGCAGTGGTTGGACCCCACATGGGATATCAGAGAGCATCTAAAACAGTACTAGATGACCATGTTTAGGTACCTGAATTGCTCCACCAGCGTTCCATAGTCAATCTTCATTGGCAAGGGAAGCACAGCAAGTACAGGGTACATTTTATAATGTATGAGTATAAAGAAAATCTAAACACTCAGTAACATACTATTTGGAACAAAAAGGGGACCACATGCGGTGAGGAGGCTGTGCAATTTTTTCCTTTCTGTACTCCGTGAAACTGTGGGTTCTTTGTCTGTCCTGAACGGTGTTTTCTCCTACAGGAGCCGGTGGAAGTCATTGACACAATGAGGCCAGAAGAGGTAAGACTGTGTGCAGAAAGGGAGTAAGGTTAATTGACTACTTCTTTTGCCCATTTCCTATCACTTGCAATACTTCCTGAACTCGACAACCTCAGTGATTGACACATACAGCCATAGCTAAAGCCATTTTCTTCTTAGAGTTGCACAGGAGGCAAGTCTCCCCCAATAAGAGAAGAGATTGTTCTGCTAGATGTGCTGAGTAAGGCTCTGACTAATCTGATCTAGCTTTGAAGTCAGCCCTGCTCTGAGCAGGTTTTGATCTAGAGACCTCCACACGTGCCCCCTCACCTAAATCTTTCTGTGTGTCTATGTTGTTCCTTCATTTTTTACACAAAGGAACAATTATCTTGCAATGACAAGGGGAAGGTGCACTCAGAAACGAAAGCTAAGATGTTCACTTCCTCTTTAAGCAGGAAGGAGCAAAACCTCACCTCCTCAGAAAGTACCTCAGAGGTACTGGAATTCCTCTGTTTCCACAGGGACTTGACATCTGGCAAGGAAAGGATGGGAAATCTGAGGGGTGTGATATAATGGGCAAGATGAATGATCTACATAGGAAGGGAGAAGCATTAACAGGAGAATGGGACTGGTTTGGGTACAGAAGACAGCAACACTGCTGATTACTGTAAGAGTGATTCCTCTTCTTTCCTGTGTCAGATAGATGCTTGGGAACAGGAGGAGCTGAACAAGAACGTGTGCTTTGACAGCTGCCGCATTGACCCTTCCCCTTTCCAACTAGTGGAGAGAACTTCCCTGCACAAGGTGGGTGCAGATGTCTCTGAGGCATACACTGTTTTTCTCCACCCTATCTGTCATTGCAAGTCTAGTCTATGACTTATTCTCCTTGTCTTCACCTACAACTACTATCACCAGCTACTTCCACATCCAGCTACAGAAGTCAGTTTGCTCCTATTACCTTCTGCGTGTACCTCCAATCTCCTGCAAAATGAAAGCCTACATAAGAAGTCTGAGTGCATTTATTAAAATAGCTTTTGGACATCACATATGATTTTCCAGCCACTACATTAACAGAAGCATTGTATGCCTTGCTGCTGGGGGCATTACACTGAGATTTACACTCTACTTTATCAGTGTGCAGCACTGGAATGAGTAGTCCCGGATTTCTCAGAGCATTTCTGTCAGGATGTAGAGTCTGCCACAGTGCCTGAGAAGAGTTGCCTGAAACCACCCTATACCATAGGCTCTTCATTGAACTGAAGCACAAGGAAAGAGGAAGCTGGATCATACAGCTTCTAGAGTTACCACAGGATGACTGGGGATAAAAGCAACTGTTGTGTATCAGGAGTAAGAGAGGACTGGGCTTTCACTCAATCGAAAGGGAAAGCAGTCTACCGAAGCAAAAGTGCACAGTGCATATTTTTATCAATATTAATTTAACATGAACAGTCGGCATATGCCTTGCACAAAATTAATTAATTACTGTTATCAAAGGGATAGGATCTCAGCCTTGAGCAAAATAAGAACAGGTTAGCATATACTTAAGAAGAGTTTGGTGTTTTCTGAAGGGCTGGCTGAAGTAATCTGAAAACCACTAGCATTTGTCTTTGAGAATACAGGGGTACCAAGAAATTATACCTGAAGACTGCAAATGGGGAAGGATTCATACCTCATAAAAAAGAGCAGATGAGAAACTCTGAAATTACAGACTAGTAAACTTGGATGCACAAAAAATGCAGGAATAAATAATTAAACCATCTGAGGTATGCACAGTTAGAACTAAATGTGAGACTACTGACAATAGCAAGAATATCACAGCTTATCATGATCATATTGTATTTAACCAGTTTGATTTTCTTCTACATTAGGGTAAAATGTCTTGTTCCTGAGAAATGAGATTTTCCCTACTTTACACTTGAACATGACATTCAATATCTCATGTGATGTTAAAAAAAAAAAAAGGCAAACACGAGCTGTGAAAGAATGACTTCATGTAAGACCACAGGTAAAGTCTAGCTAGAACTCGGCGTAAATAACTTGGATGTTGGAAACAGGCCACAAATGAGCACTGAGAATGCTGAAACTTTTAGAAAGCCTGATCTATGAAGAACAGCAAAATAATGAGGGATGTTTAGGCTGAAGGAAAGAAGACTGATAGCAGTGTGATATCTGTCCTTTTAAGAAGGCTTTGTAAAAGAAAGGGAATACCTTGTTCTCAGTGTTCTCACTGCACTGGATAAGCAGCAACAAGCTTAAGTTTTGACATGAAATATTCTGGAACAGGAAAAAAAGAAATCTTCTAGTGTTAAGGAAAGCGCTGGAATAAATAACCTAAGTAGGTTCTGACTTTGCATATTACATATGATAGTTTAATTTCCAGCACCAAAATGAAACAGGATCTGTCTAAGTCCCTGCATATACAGGGTGTTGCATGTGAATCTCTGTTTGGCAGATGCAGGATGAGAGTGACCTTAAGAATGTGCTCTCCATCATCAACACACTCCCAACTATGGCTGCCCAGCAGAAGGACCAAAGGGTAGTATTTGCTAGCTACAAAAGGGGAAGGGAAGAGGTAGTTTCTCACTGGGATAACTACAGACTTGTGCGCCTTTGTGATTCCCATTTCTAAATCCCAAGTCCCAGCTCTAGCACCAAGTACCATGTTACCAGTTGCCAAAGTCCCTGAAATGGTCTTTTGTGGTTTTGCTCATAGACGCATACATTGTTCTCCTTACTGGGCCTCAGCCATGCCTATGTAACCAGTATGGGGAAGCTAAGGGGAGTACTGGCTTTGGAAGAGGTAAGTACAGATCCTTTCATCTCTTCCTCATCAACTGCAAATGTACTGTGGATCACTGCAATAACTTACAGGTGCTAGTGGATTCAGCTGGGAACGTATATAACTGTGATTGCTACATTATTTCAGAGGAGGCAGTTGTTCACAGGGATGTTAGATGGTTCATCCTTTTCATGAACATAGGGCTCTTAACTGGGTGGCTATTACTGTCTCTGAAAGTGGCGTGGAATTAGTTATTTACCATGGAACGAAAAATTACACCACCACTGTAAAAGATGATCTCCACAGGCCCCAGAGGTAGAGCTGTGACTCTCTCTATTTGTATTCCCCTTACCCTGGAGATAGATGAACTTCTGCTGGGTAGGGCTGGGTCAGCCTCCCTTTCATCCATTTTTTCTGAACTTTTTCTCTTCTCATAGCTCCAGAAGGCAATAGAAGGCTCCACACGCTCCGGAGTTCGCCTCCGCCCACCCCTTGCCAGCTTCCGCGATACCAACCGGACTTCCACCAGCAGTGAGAAGGTCAGTCAGGCCACTCAGATGTGGAGCCGGCAGGACAACTGTATGGTGGCAGCACAGCAAGGAGCGGACTTGGGCACAGAGAGCCCACTGCCCCCCTGCTCGCACTCCCCCCAGTCCTCACACTTCCACGAAGAGGGGGAAGTCCCGTGCTCTACTTATGCCACTGATACTGAGTTGGACGAGATGGAGCTGACAGGGCCAGTGGCTGAAAACATTTCAGACATCCTCAAGGACATAAGCCTACGCTCCACTGACCTGGATGAGGATGAAGATGAGGATGAGGATGTCCCCTTATAGCTGGTGTGAGGGGAGTGGTCCATCACACTCTTTAGTTGAGCCAGTCTTTTTGTGTTTGCTCCTCAAAGAGAAACTTTTGGATGTTCTTTACAATCCCCACAGAGGATTGATTCAGCTGGCAGAAGGGGCATTGGACTGACCCTTTCTTCTGCTGTTTTCTTTCTCTGCAAAGACTGTTAGGCTGTTGGACTATACGGCTGTGTGCAGGAGTCAGATGTGGACTGCAAGGTGGCTAAGGGCAAGCTTATAATGCTTAGGCTTCTACCATGTCTACATAACATGGCAGAAGGGATTGTAACAGGACATGAATACTGCTGGACACAGTCAGGATGCTCTGGGTCAATCTGCCTTGTGGAAAGTGGAGGAGGAGCAGCTCTTCTCATTCTCCATTGGAGTCATCCTTCCAGTCGCACCTGGCCTGCATGCACAACTGTAAACATGGCCAGACCTACAGCCTAGAAGCATATTGCTGCTTCTGACTGCAATCGTGTCCATGCTGCCGCAGCTCCTTTTCACTAGTTCTTATATTGCACCCCCCCCGCAAACATTCCCATGTAGAACATTTTTCCTCTTGCTCAATTTTTACTCTGGGATTTTCCTGGATGGGGGTGCAATTCGGAGCTTCTCCTCTGTCCTTTAGCTGAGCCATGCCCTAAAAACAGATGGAAGGAAAATATCTGGTCTATGTCTCATGTCTTGGATTCAGCCAGGGCTCTAAGAAAAGCACTGGAAGGGAGGAGAGCCTCTTTGTTTTCCCATCATCCCTGGAATTTTTAAATAGAATGGGAAAATCTTAAGAGGGAGCATCCTCAGTGTTGGAGGAAGAGGAGTAAACAGCATGTATGCACCTACATTTCAAACACTTGTGTTTGTCGCTCTGAACCATTGTTCACAATTTTTACAAAGTTATAGTCTTAAAATATAAGAACTAGAAAAAAAAATAAATTATGGAGTGCTAGCAGGCTGCCAAGAAATACAGCAGAGGGAGGCCACATTTTCTACACTTTGAAAACAGGTTTCTCTCTGAAAACTCCTGCGCTCTCTCCTGGTAATTCTACCCTGCCTACTTTCCGCATATTTCTGCATACCTCAGATCTGAGAATCTCACTTTTGTGAGCTCTCACTTTTGCCAGCTTGTCTCCATTGTGACTAACAGCAGAGACCTCAACCTTTGTCTGCAGCATCCCCCTCTATTCCTGTTCTAAATCTGGAGCAGATCTTGATCTGTATCTTGCAAAAAGATGTCTTGTCAGTTCGTGTCATGCATGCAAAACCTTAGCATCCAAAGATAAGACGCTGCTTTCTTTAACCCACTGTCCTTGTGAGGTTTTCTCAGTAAATAGGCAAAATCAAATTCTGTGTATTTTGTAGCTTTCCTCTAACATTCTACATCTCTATCATATATTTGGTGTGTCATAACACTTAGATGCAGTCCCAAGCAGCCTATTGGATGTGTTGCCCCTTATCAGCAACAGAGAAGAAATCCAAGCTCTGAGAACATGTTCTTGGGGGTATTCTCCTGGATGTTGGACCACATCCCCTTTCCTGATTAGTAAAGCATTATCTAACTTAGAGTGACCAGTTTCACCTTTAATGGGTGGTTCTTCATAAGCTGTCTCAGGAGCAAGTGAAAAATATCATTACCTCTAACCCAGTCTCCTAGGAAAATTCCTTCCTGGCTTTAATTCCAAGGATTGACCTTGCACCAATTCCTCTCTGGTGATGCTCATGGGTGGGAGAGTCTGTGACAAGCTTGAAGTAGAGGGAAATCTGCCCAGCTAGTCTTTTGAAGAGGGAGAGATTCATTTTTGCTGTCTGCAATTCAGAGCCCACCAGCTCTGCATTGTCTTTGAGACGTGATCCCTGTCTATAAGCTAACTGGGGACAGCCTTTCCCTGCCCAAGTGATCTTCAGTGCTCTGAGGGTCACCCTGTCCTTGTGAGAAGACAGTGGTGATCTGAGGGCAAGTCTCCTGCGCACACCAGCTGCCTGCCTCCACCAGAGGGTTGTGGCACATTTCTGGCTGCCAGGCATTAGCACACAGTGTCCCTGCTACCTTTGTGTCACCTTCCCCTGCCTGCAGAGAAGAGGCGAAACAACTGCTATTTTTTTCTCAGGGAACTGCAATAGTCCTTTAAATAAGCAGCGGAGAAAGGACATTCCTTTTAAGAACCCAGAAATGTGCGGTGAGTGGCAACACTCTGAGACCAAATCTGATCTGAGGGTCCACACACCTCAGGAAGGACAAGTTTCTCCAAGTCAGCCCCAGCCTTATTACCAGCAAGTACAGACTTAACATTTTGCAGCTTAGCCAAATGCTTGCACCAAGACAGATGAGACAAGGAGAAACTTTGAGGCTGGAGTCAATACATCTCCCCCTCCTCTCTCCTGAATACAGATATATGTTCTGCTCCAGTCCCACACTTCTCCTACGGTGTGTTACAGAAGAACTGGGATCTGACTGGCTGAGAAAGCAGATGGAGTCTAAATCAAAGCCAGAGAGTGTGTGAGTCATGACAGACAGATTGTGAGCTGGGGGAGATGAATCTGGAACAAAAAAATGATACACATGGAGAGGCTTGGGGAGCTCAGACTAAGACACAAGCTAACCTGTAAAGTTTCTTGAGGTTTGCCACTTGAGAGTACAAAAGCACACACATGTGTGCCCGTATGTGCACACACACCTCTCTCTCCATTCCTATTGCCTTTAGCTGTCCCAGAGGTAGCATGAGGAGCTGGTCTGCTCTCTGTGGGGAAGCTGAAAAGTGGGTGTTACTGCTATTCTTTGGAGGCATTACTCAAGATCTGTTCCAGGTATGCCCCCACCCTTGGAGGAGAAGCAGCATTCATCTGCACCATTTTCTCACCTGGGAAAAAGTATGCATACATGAATGTGTGTAGGGAGCCAGGAGGGGACAAAAACATACTGCAGAGATGGTTTGTGATGGCTGAAGAAGTTTCCACTTCCATTCTACCAATAAAATCTTCACTGAGCTGATGCCAAGTACTTTAATAGGTGTAAAATGTGCAGTAAACTGACACTGGACCTTTGTCAAGGGAACTTTAAGCTTGCACCCTCTCAGGCAATCCCAGTATGCCCCCTCAAAGTTTAAACTTGAAACCTTTGCCAGGCAAAGTCATGCTGATCTGTCACTCTAAAACCTGCATCTCTCATCCTATCCAAGCAGCACAGACTTGGCTACCTACACACAAAAATCATTTTTTTCCCCAACCCAAAATATCCCCCTGAATCTGTACCATCAGCAGTGAGACCCTCCCACTCAGCTAGAAAGTCAAATCTCAGATCTGCCCCCAAAAATCCAAGCACAAACCTTGAAAAACAAGAAGCTCTGAGGCTGTTTTGAACCACAGAAGCTTGCTTTTCTCCTAAATAGCATGTGCAGTTGCTTAGAATCATTGTTTTGGGCAGAGATTCATGTTACGCCAAGCTTGCCACTACCACTCAAAGCACTAAAATAGAGCTGGTCTTGTTCAGCATTTTCAATTCCAAGCACCTGCTGAACTGCATTTGGTACTCCACATATAATAGTCTGAGAAGAACATGATAGTGAAACATCTCCATCAGAGCAGAAAACTTTGGGAAAACACCACCACCACCACCAAAAGCCCTAAAAAAAATTATTTGACTTTGTATCTTCAAGATAAATGTAGTTCTAATCTCAACTAATTGCTGGTTTACTGATACTCAGTTAATGAAGGCAAGAAGTTTATCTATTAAATTTAATCTAGCAAGAAGTTGAACTCTTCCTTTTACATGGCATTTAAATGTGAAAGCAGAATCTTGTTTTTAAACTCATCAATATAAAGAATTGAAAAAATGTGGAAGACTTAAGGTTGACAAGAAAACAGATAGGACTTTGGGTAGTTATGACAAGACTAAGAGACTTGGTCATGGTTCAGATGAGGAGGGAAACACATGGAGATGGACTACTGGACAAAAAGAAAAATTTGCCTCAACAATGTAACTTTTTTTGGTTGGCAAATTATTTCAGACTAAAAACAATCTAGTTTGCTAAACCTATGGACAAAACCAGTTACTACAAGCAGAAATAAAGGCAGGCAGAATCAAGAGTTCATAAAAAATAACTCCCCCCGCCCCCCCCCCC